TTTTATTTATGATTTAATTTATTTACACATGTATACAAGTTTTATACTAATAAATGTATATTTTTATTTATTTTTTATAGGTTTCTTTATTTTATCATATTTAGGAGCGCACATACCGTTTTGACCTATGAGCTCACACTCATTCTTAGTCGCTTGTGGATGTATGTAGCTGCCCATATCTTAATTTAATTTATGTTATACATTACACCCTTTTTCATCAGTTTTACATTGACTACTACTATTATACTATGTGGACTTATTCCAATACTTTGCCAACAACAAAAAAGGCCGACGTGACCATAACAAAGTAATAGGATGAACTAGATATGATATCCATCAACCCCTCCCACCATGAAGGAAGGTAGAATGATGTGTCCTATGAAAGGACACATTACTAACAGTCAGCATCAAACACTCCCCCTCAAAAGAATGCTCGTGATTGGATGTATCACGAGTGTTATCCACCTATCAACTTGCACTTCGAGTTATTGAAATCTAAATCAGCAGCAGCATCATTACCAGTTGAGAAAACCCAATTTGATCGGCGAAACGCGTTTTGGACATTACACCATAAGGATGTTTATGTATGTACTTATATTGTTTTATTTTCAATAAATTGTAAAATGTACTTTCACATATAGTCTGGTGGACCATCACTGCTGCTGTTAAAGGGACACTATAGTCACCAGAACAACTACAGCTTATTGAATTTGTTCTGGTGAGTAGAATCATTACCTTCAGGCTTTTTGCAGAAAAAATGCAGTGTTTACATTACAGCCTAGAGATCCTTCCTGGGTCATGGCTACCTAAAATGCATTCAAACATTCAGTATCTCCTCCCTCTGCATGCAGACACTGAACTTTCCTCGTAGAGATTCATTGATTCAATTCATCTCTATGAGGAGATGCTGATTGGCCAGGGCTATGTTTGAATTGTGCTGGCTCTGCCCCTGATCTGCCTCCTTGTCAGTCTCAGCCAATGGGGAATCAGTCCACCACGTCTGATGATTTCAGAGGTCAGAGGAAGTTCACTGGCAGAGGCAGCAGCTTCAGACTTGAATACAAGTAAGATTTTACTATCTTTAGGGAGGCCAAGGGGGCTAGATAGTGGTTTTAACACTATAGGGTCAGGAATACATTTTTGTGTTCCTGACATATTGCACCTTTAAAGAAGGGAAGTGTCACCATTAATAGACACATTCATCTGTAAACTGAGAGCCAAGACAGAGGCTCTTAACAAGGTGCGAAGCAACCTGCACTTTATTTATATTATATATTGAGGATTCTACACCAGGGTCAGCTTTGCTTCCCTGTCTCTCTTTTGAGGAAATCTCTTATTATGGACGTATAGGGTGTGTGCCACCTAAAGTGCACGATAGTGGATGTGATTAGTGCCGGTCCTTAATAGGCTGTAAACCATGTGAGTGCTTCTAATTAGATATATTTTACACTATATCTTGTTCTAATTGTCCTTTCCAGCTATTTCAACTACCTCACTGCCTTAATCAAGGTAAGTGTTATACCTACTTTAGCCCTACACACTCTATACTATTAGCATTTACTTGCTTAATAGTGTTTGTTTTCTACAATAGTATATAATAATAAGAGCAATAAAAACACACAGAATACAAAAAGATTCCACAATAAAACTTGAAAGAATAAAAAATACCAAATGGTGTTTTGGCACAGTGTCAATGTCTTTATTTAACAAAAGCATAAAAAACAACTTAGGGCTTTCTAAAGTGGTAAACACTTTTTTTTACCACTTGTAAAAAGCCCTAAAGGGAGAAACGCGTTCGTTTTTATGCTGTTGTAAATAAAGTATTATTATTATTCTTTATTTTTCATGTGCGTGTGAAACATACAACATTTGATAGTACGGTGCCACAACAGCATCCACAAGTGTGTTATGAGCAGTTGGTCAGCATGGCATGTGAGGATACGGCACAATTTTTGTTTTTTAAATTAACAAGCAAAACAATGAAAGATTATGTGACACAAGATTTCAGGTAATTCAAGAGTTGTCAGGCTAGATGTTGGCATGAGCAATTACACAGGTTAAGATCAGGATAACACGGGTAGCAGCAGCTCGTCAATCCCTACATCAGTATTGGTATACGTATGGCTGAGCTTGTCTGAGGATCCACTGATATGTGGTGTGGTGTGCCTGTGGGTTGTGATTGCGTTGCGAGAGCTTATATTAGTATAACTACATATGTGCCTGCGTGTCAGACAATGTAGGACGTATACATGTAATAAACATCAAGCATGAGGAATATTAGCTTAAGTTTTCGAGTAAGTTAACAAATGGGCAAGTGACCACTGGAGTAGAAGGGCGAAATTGAGTCAATGCTTGTCTGTTACGGCTGGTGTGTAGCTTAATATTAACTCTGAAGCTGCTTGTCTTATGCTTATGTGATCGTCACCAAGATTTATAAATAATAACACTTAGCATTGCAGGCTTAATAAATAAACGCTTAGATCACCTGTTAAATCGCTGAATCTTATACATTATAAAATGCTGCACAAAAACTTTTAGGGGTGCATACTAGGTAAAGTCAGATCAATGGTTTCTGCAGGAGAGAGTCCTGTAGTGTGAGTATGTAGGGCTTGTGCGCCAGTCGTCCGACCTGCCTGCATCTCGTGGAGGAGGGCTGGTGCGTCAAGGGTGTAGCCGTTTCAGCCTGTACCCCGCTTGGGCAGGGGTGTGATAGCTGGAAGGGGTGTCTGAGTGGGAGCCGCTTTGGTCGTCGGTGTGTGAGGCAGGTCGGTCTCTTGGGTGGGAGTTCTCAGGGGAGCTGTGGGTGTGTGGTAATGTTTCACTTTGGGTCTTTGCTGTCTCTTGTGTGGGTTCTCCACATGGTGGGAGCTGGTCTTCCTGAGTGTAGTGTGGCTGCAAAGGAGTAGTCCCTGCTGGGGGTAGGACGACTCACCGCTGGTCGTTGTCTGCGGTGTCGAGGTTTGTGTCGGGTCATCCGCCTCCTCCTTCCTGCCTTTTTAACTTTGCCCTTGTTCCGGACGGGAGCCGCGGGTCTCTGCCCAGGCCTCTCCTTGGGTTGCTGCTGGTGGGGTCTCCACTTCTATGCCTCCTTGGTGGCATATTTTGGCCCAAAAGGCAGCGAACAAGTGATTCAATCTTTCCTCCAGAGTGGGTAGCGGAGTGCTGTTCAGAGGGTTACACATGCTTGGTGTTTGACTCTGCAGTTTAGAGCTCCTTTCTCCAGGTCGCCTAACCGACTATTTGGTAGGTTTTTTGCCCCAATTTTGGCTGATTGTGAGCGTTTTTGCCCGGATAGTCCATGTGCGACCGCTCAGCATGGCCGCTTGACTCCGCCCCCCTAAATAAAGTATTTTGGTACCTCACTACCTGCCTTTTAGCCATATATTTTTAGAACCTATTATTTATTTTTTTAGTTTTACCTGATATCTGTACCCATTACCTACTGCGGACAACAAACCAAAGAAATCCTTGGTGGGAATTATACCACCCAGGCTTGATTAATAGAGCAGTTAGTCTGCTCACTATATTGTAAGTACATTTTTATTTACCTTATTGATACTTGCCTATCTATATAGAGAACACTATTGGCTGTTTTTTTTGTCATTCCATATGATCTACCTCATCGTTATCCAGTTGTGATTTACTATCATTCCACTCTGTACCAAAATCAGAGGGATATCCTGCAAATGGGAACTGTATACCACTGCATGCTGTTTTACCTAGAGCTGGTTATAGCTCTACCATATGTGAGTTGACCTCTTATCTAAGTGTCGTTTGTCCTACCATATTGCACTATTGGTTTGGCTCTGTTTTTGCTTCCTTTTCATATACTGCTATTAAACAAAGGTACCTAGAAAGTCTCATACCAGGACTAGAAGATCTATTGCCACCTTTGAGACTGTGCCGTACCATTTGGTATTTATTATTCTTTTAAGTTTTATTGTGGACTCTTTTTATATCCTGTGTGTTTTTCTATTGCTCTTATTGCTCTTTATATTATATACTATTGTTTGGAGTACTTTTCTTGGCGCTACCTACCTGTATAGTGTTGTTTGACTTGTTCCTATTCATTATTTAACTTGAATTTGTTTTGTTAAACAAAGAAATAACAAAACTTGTCAGTGTCCAAATATTTCTGGAGCTAACTGTATCCGTTGTTATTTTTTGTGCAAAAGAGACAGATTTCACCACAAGAAGTGCAGATGCCCACATTTCTCAGTACTAAACTATGACCGAAAGTAGTGTAAATTCCAGATGCACTGTCCTACTGACTTGAGCTGTTGTAAAATTTCAGAATTTTATGTTTTTATTCAACACTGAGAATATGATCTGTGATCACGCTATTTTATCACACTGGTGAGACTGCTCTGCGTACTACATTCCCACAGTGAGAAAAATCCATAGAGAGATATGCCTCAGACATAACTCTTTATTCTGGGATAGGTAACTGCTGGTTACAATAAAATATTTAGGGGGACGGGAACTTTGAGACCACTGCCATACACTTTGTAAGATAAAAAAAACTCTGACCGCACAAAGCAGTAAATTGCACTGGAAACGGTGATGATTCGAACGGAGTAATACTAAATTGTACTTTTATACAATGAGTAAAAGACAGCAGAAATGTATTTCACCACACATTGTAAAGAATTACCATTACAGAGCATGACATGTATGTACATATACTCTTGGGGTTAACGGAATACTCATGCTTATTAAACACTAGTAGGTTACCATAGTAACATATACTAAAACTCAACCCAAATAGCTGAATGGCCTGCCAGCTGTATCTCTATCAATAAACCATCATGATGAAAAACAAATTTATTTTTCATTTACCTAGGAATGGGATCGCATATACTGGTCACAGGTAGGTACTGCCAGGATTTCAGAGCCAATAGGTTATATGTAGTGTACTGGGAGTGTGAAGCGGCTTGGTGCTGATGAAACCACCATTGTGTTATTGTTTAAGCGAGCAGCTCAGTGAGAGGGATGCAGTAAATAGCAATGTGCTAGCATCAGGCGAGCAGCACAGTGATATGGATGCAGTGAGTGTCCCTCCTCCCACACCCCCTCCCCCGCCCAGTAACCTAGTGAAGAGGAGGATTACAGGGGATATCGAGCAGCACCCAGTGTTAGCAGCAAACTGGATCTTTCCTTCTGTCTTAGCACAGGCCATTACCATCACTGGAAGCTATAGCAACTCTGCATCCACTGCTGCCTGTTTCCTTCCTTCCTGTAGTGAGTATATCCGCGGTCCCTGCCATGCCTTGTCCATCCTCCTGCCCAGTACTGCTAATTCCATCTATTATAGCCTTTATGTTTTCTACATGAGCCGGTTCTAGTCACCCCTGATCAAGTCATCACAGGGCTTCTCCCACAATCCTGTCATTCGAACGTTCACATTCTAGAATGGTGGGGTACATTAAATAGACATACATGTCCACGATTTGGTTGAATGTTAACATCAGTTATAAAGGCTGTACCAGCTTCATGGGAGTCGTAGTACTCTGTATCTGTATGTGATAAGGTTCATCTTCTTCGTATTCTTTAAAATGCAAGTCAGTCATGGTAAAGGCTAAATCGTTTGTTTTTTATTTCGAATGTAATGTTTAGATTTAACTATATTACTATATATTAAATATTTACTCTGAATTTACCTTCTATCAAGTTTGTAATCTCTTACTTTTCGTGTTTCTACTGATAGTCCATTCTTTATGCTGGCCTCTGACTCCCTATACATAACCTTTTGTTCCAGTGTGATTTAGGCCCATGAAGAATTGACAGTAATTATAATCACATGGTTTTGCATGAAAACAGTATTGGACTCTATGATTTTTATAGCATCTGTCATCATCAATACATCTCCCGTCACATACGAGAACCCCAAACATATATCACAGACATTCAGCTTCCATTATATGTTTCACACAGCCAGACAGCTCCATTCGCACAAGTTTTGGGCACTACCATATCACACAAACGCTTTACATAAAAGGCGAGCTGACCCTTGTACTTGACCCTGAACCCAGCAGCCCACCACCAAAAGCAAAACAAAAACAGACTTCCTGAAGCCACATTCTCAGAATATACCTCCATTGCCAATTATGGCAACTTTCCTCTGCCCAATTTATTTTTCTGCTCCCCGTTTTCAGTTCATCCTTCCAATTGTCATATCCCTTCAAACAATTCTCTAATCATACTTCCCCTCTCCATGTTTCCCATTATCATCTCCAATTCATTCAACCCCCAGCCATATTGCTCCTAGTCATGCCCGCTGCCATATATCCCACTCTTAATATACCCCATCTTCATATGCCCCAACTATTTTACATTCTTTTTCTTGCTCCCTGCCATATTCCCACATTCACTTATACATCGATATCTCCCAATTTCACAGAAACCAGCAATATATCACAATTTATCCAACCATTCATCATCCCCACAGTAATTTAACTAATATTTCACTTTCCCACAGCCATATAACCCCCAGTTCACTGTTCACATCATTTTGCACCCCCCCCCCATTCATCTCCCAACATAAACAGTGTCCCCCATTTAATTTCCTTGTAGGGCCAGCCCTGATGTCAGAGATTTCTCTACCTATGTCTTGGATACATACAGCTGCCAGGGATATGCACTAAACCAGGAAGTGTCACTGACTAGGCTGGAATTTAGCTGGAAATAATTGAGCAGGATAATGAAAATAATTGAAATAATTGAGCAGGAGAAATGAAATAGCTCCACTATTTTGGCATAAAATGTGAAATCCCCCTACAATTCATTTTAGTGGATAACCCTGTGCATTGCTTATTTAACACTTACAGGTTTGTGTATGTGGCGTTGTGAGATTTTTTGCATTGAACCCAATTGTAGTGGTTTAAAACCGAATTGCAAAATTCAGGCAAAAAGTGGAAACATTTGGATGTTTATTCTATAGCACATGCCTCACTCAGCTTTTACTGGCTTCTCACAATAAGCTGCATGAAGCACCTGACATGTAGATGTCGCGCAACTCCCAGGAGCAAGACTTGCTGACTGTTGTCTCCCTTTGTGGATAATGTTGGCCTTGCAAGTGGGAGGGATAGCAGTGATTCCCCAGGCAGCGGCAGAGCAAGCCAGTTCCGAGTGCCGAGAAGGCAATGACATATGATGCGTGTCATATCTCCACCCCCTTTACAGAGCACTATGTGATGTGTTCCAATCTGGAGTATGCTGACTCCTCTCAGTTGCCACAAGTTTGTGGACTATCTCTCATCCAACTCCACCACACTCACAGGTGTACAATTCCATTCTATATATAATAATAATAAATAAAAAAATTACAAATAACAATTTACTCATAAAATAAAGATGTGATCAATATGGGGATGTAGGGAGACATGAGCAGGGGAACAAGTATGAAACTGGGGACATAAGATGGGAGACACCATTCATCAGCTGCACATTTTCAAAATCAACTAACCTTTCCCAGCTTAATGTAGTGGTTCTGGTGTCAATATTCTGACACTACGGACTTTTCAATGTAAACACTGCCTTTTCAGAGAAAAGGCAGTGTTTACATTGCTGCTTAGGCACTCTTCCAGGTGGCAGGTACTCAGATGGCCACTAGAGATGCATCCTGGGTCAGTTCAGTTTCTCCATGCGGAATGTTCCCCATAGAGATGCATTTATTCATTAAATCTCTGAGGAGATGCTGATTGGAACAGCTGGGCAATAGCCTGTTTATTGGCTGAGATAATCTAGATTGATTATTGATTGAGGGGAGGCCAGAAAACGGTGCGGCGGTGTAGAAAAGGTGACTAAAAAAACTTTTATTTCCCTGGAGAGGGGGGCCATGGAGCTAAAAATGTATTCCAGCGCTACAGTATCCTGACACTATAGACCTTGACCTTTATGTCAAAATAGCCAAAATAAAAACAGAAGTGACTTGGATTCTTTACAATTGGCTAGTATGGCCTACATTTTTAAAATTACTTTGAATTCCTTGAAAGTCTCAGTTTATTGAAAAGCCCTTCAAATTTTGCTATTTGGTTTTCAGTTGACTGCAGTTTGGAATTTAGTATATAAACGGTTTTTAACATTCTGGGGGAAATTTATCATTGCAAACTGCTAAATGTTGCTACAAATTATGGTCTCTGTGTTGATTGCTCCTCATATAGCACTTTTAATTCAGAATAGTGCCGGTTTTAAATTTTTGCAGGTGTTTTAACAAAGCTGATCTATCACCCCACAAAATATTTTGAGCATTTCATAAACGTTAACAGGATTATTCACTACAGGGAGTGCAGAATTATTAGGCAAATGAGTATTTTGACCACATCATCCTCTTTATGCATGTTGTCTTAATCCAAGCTGTATAGGCTCGAAAGCCTACTACCAATTAAGCATATTAGGTGATGTGCATCTCTGTAATGAGAAGGGGTGTGGTCTAATGACATCAACACCCTATATCAGGTGTGCATAATTATTAGGCAACTTCCTTTCCTTTGGCAAAATGGGTCAAAAGAAGGACTTGACAGGCTCAGAAAAGTCAAAAATAGTGAGATATCTTGCAGAGGGATGCAGCACTCTTAAAATTGCAAAGCTTCTGAAGCGTGATCATCGAACAATCAAGCGTTTCATTCAAAATAGTCAACAGGGTCGCAAGAAGCGTGTGGAAAAACCAAGGCGCAAAATAACTGCCCATGAACTGAGAAAAGTCAAGCGTGCAGCTGCCACGATGCCACTTGCCACCAGTTTGGCCATATTTCAGAGCTGCAACATCACTGGAGTGCCCAAAAGCACAAGGTGTGCAATACTCAGAGACATGGCCAAGGTAAGAAAGGCTGAAAGACGACCACCACTGAACAAGACACACAAGCTGAAACGTCAAGACTGGGCCAAGAAATATCTCAAGACTGATTTTTCTAAGGTTTTATGGACTGATGAAATGAGAGTGAGTCTTGATGGGCCAGATGGATGGGCCCGTGGCTGGATTGGTAAAGGGCAGAGAGCTCCAGTCCGACTCAGACGCCAGCAAGGTGGAGGTGGAGTACTGGTTTGGGCTGGTATCATCAAAGATGAGCTTGTGGGGCCTTTTCGGGTTGAGGATGGAGTCAAGCTCAACTCCCAGTCCTACTGCCAGTTCCTGGAAGACACCTTCTTCAAGCAGTGGTACAGGAAGAAGTCTGCATCCTTCAAGAAAAACATGATTTTCATGCAGGACAATGCTCCATCACACGCGTCCAAGTACTCCACAGCGTGGCTGGCAAGAAAGGGTATAAAAGAAGGAAATCTAATGACATGGCCTCCTTGTTCACCTGATCTGAACCCCATTGAGAACCTGTGGTCCATCATCAAATGTGAGATTTACAAGGAGGGAAAACAGTACACCTCTCTGAACAGTGTCTGGGAGGCTGTGGTTGCTGCTGCACGCAATGTTGATGGTGAACAGATCAAAACACTGACAGAATCCATGGATGGCAGGCTTTTGAGTGTCCTTGCAAAGAAAGGTGGCTATATTGGTCACTGATTTGTTTTTGTTTTGTTTTTGAATGTCAGAAATGTATATTTGTGAATGTTGAGATGTTATATTGGTTTCACTGGTAATAATAAATAATTGAAATGGGTATATATTTGTTTTTTGTTAAGTTGCCTAATAATTATGCACAGTAATAGTCACCTGCACACACAGATATCCCCCTAACATAGCTAAAACTAAAAACAAACTAAAAACTACTTCCAAAAATATTCAGCTTTGATATTAATGAGTTTTTTGGGTTCATTGAGAACATGGTTGATGTTCAATAATAAAATTAATCCTCAAAAATACAACTTGCCTAATAATTCTGCACTCCCTGTAGAGTCTAAATGGTCTCAATACTGAACGTGGCAATTCCATCCTGCTGCATACAGAGCAATTCGGGTTGCTAACTCCGGATATAGTTTGTGCTATTTAATAATGTCTGGATTTTATAATTCAGGCCCTGAATTGGCCTGAATTTTGTTAGATTTTCAGCCAGACCGAATGCAGTCTCAAATTCAGCCTTAATGCTTCAACTCCCAGCACAGATTAAAAAAAAATCTGAACTATTTGCTCGCTGGTAAGTGGTAGAAGCCAGAGGGCAAATAGATTTAAAAAAATATATATATATTTTTCATGAAGGTTAATATTGCTAGCCAGCTTCCACATTAAATAGTTAAAGGAACACTATAAGGTCAGGAACATAAACATGTATTCCTGACCCTATAGTGCTAAACCCACCATTTATGTAGCTTGCCCCCCCCCACTTAGCCCCTTAAAAGGAATTAAAACTCACCTTATTTCCAGCGCCGCGCGGGTCAGCTGGCGCTTGCCCTGCCCCTTTGGTGACATTATCAGAGTTGCCAATTTTTGGCCAATCGGATTGGATAAAATCAGCAAGGGATGGGGCCAAATGCCGTTTTGGCCAATCAGCACCTCCTCGTGGAGATGCGTTGAATTACCAGATTTTACTAATTTCATGATTTTATTAAGGACATGGAGGCGAGTATTATGCTTTATCTCTTTCTTTGTTCTTCAGCAGCAAAGAAAGGATACTGTAAATATTCAAAGGAAAAAGATTAAAACATGTACCCTAGAGGGTTAACCACCTATAACATGTTATCCTATAGGAATGCTTGAAATGGTGATATATGACAAAAGCGTTTATTAGAGGTCAGATTGATGACAGTTCGAACGCCTCAACCTTTCTTGAGGACTAGAAAGGGGTTGCTCAGGCAACCTGGGGTTTGAGGGTGAATTTCCGAAATAGCGCCCTTGGATGCTAGGGACTGTATTTCTTACGACACCAGGTGCCGGTCTTGTGCTGAGAACACAATGCAGTTGGGTAAAAACCTCTGAGCAGGATATTGTACGATATCTATGGAATAACCCAGGACAGTTTGAAGGACCCAAGCATCTGAGGTTAACCTGCGCCAAGCATTGTCTTATCCGGCCCCCCACTGCCACTGAAGGCAAGTGGCATGAAATTGAACTTACCATAAGGCCGTCAGCAGTAGAGGAACCTCTGGGTCTTCGTTGGATGGCTCTTTGTTGTGGTGTGGTCTCTGTGACAGGACGTACCCTGTCCGTCTGACAATTTTTAGAGGCATCCTCGTCCCATTGACAGATGTTTTGGTGGATTTACACCCAATGGGAGCTACAGGTTTACTCTCTGGGGGGTTAGAAGAAATGAGAGTACGTGGTCCTTGGGTGGAAATTAGGGCTTGTGTGATAGATTATCAGACATGGTCCCCATTGCCGAAAAAGTGGCTGGTGTCACTGATTTCGCCATTGTAGCATCCATAAGGGAATGAAATGCTTCCGGATTCATTTTGCTCTTGCGATGCTTCATCCAGTATGGCATGTGTGGGTGGACAGGCCACCACCAGGGGCGTAGAGGATTTAGGAACAACGGAAACTTCCAACTCCTTTTGGGACTGCATGACACATTAATATAACAAAGTTTATATGAAAATATAATAGGAAGTAACAAGAAAAATTATCCTAAGGATAGTGTAGGAAGCTCACACCCACAGTGCCTGATAACTACTATAGAGGCAGTGAAAAGAGTATAGGCACGGACAGTAATTAGCTGAATAGCAGTAAGGCTACTAGGCACAATGACCAAAGGAAGCAAGCTTACTGAGTGTTCCCTCAGGAATGGCTTGTAAGTTTTATCCTGCAATCCATGAACCATTTTAGTAGCCCTTCTCTGAACTCTCTCTAAAGTATAAATATCCTTCTGGAGATACGGTCTCCAGTACTGCGTACATTAAACTGTTGTTATTCTGGTGACTATAGTGTCCCTTTAAGCATAAATAAGTAAATATAAAGCTTATAGGGGTAAATATGACCCCGATATTACTTATGCCCTAACCTGTGAAGTGGCACATGGGGGCAAGTCTACTAAACTTTTAAAATTAGTGTCTGGGCAAGCATTGCTGCCACTCATTAGAAAGGCCTGTCGATAATGTCAGGCGGTGACTTTAAATAAGTAATATATATTGACAGATCACCGTCCATCTCCCTGTCTCCAACATAAGAATGTCCCTACTGACTCCACCCAAAATGGTAGAAAATTGATGTCCGTGAACACACACAGGATATAGCCAGTATGCAGCCTTTTAATATTAACCCACCCAAAATAGTGGCATGTCCATACCCTTCAGGGGGCTGTGGATCCCCAAGACAACCCCTATTAAAATTAAATGACCCTACCTATTTAACCCTTCCCGCCCCTGCCCTCCCTATTTTCTTCAAAACAGGCAAATTAAAATCTATAATAACTGAAAAAAAATAATGGTGAAAAACCAAAACTGATTCGCAAACCAAAAAAGATGAAAAAACAGGACCCACCCCAGGTGCCAAATGCTCTAGGTACGCCCCTGCCACCAACATTTTCAATAGAGAAAAGGGACATGTTAATTTTACTTTTATGAGTGGGGGTGTGGGCAGAGCTTTTTCTGATAAATTTTAGGTGCCATTACTGTGAGTATTATTGCTGTGGTGATCTGTTATACACTCAGACAGACATATAGTATGGATTTCCTAGAAAAGAGGGGCATCATCACCTATTTCTCCCTATAGCTTTTTGTAGAAGAGCCAGATACATTAATTAAAATCTGACAGCATGGAGCAAAAAAAAAAAAAAAAAATATTTGGCAACTTCCTGTAGCTTATATTCTATTCACAAGCATTTCTCAATGATATTTTGTTTAATGAATAAAACCTGGTAAGTGGGTCCGTTGCACATGTGTATGGTGTCTTTGCAGTTTGGGGGAGAGAGCTATACATTTCTGCATTAACGTATTTAACCTAATGGCAGCCTATGAGAAATGTTTTCTGTTTAACAGGAAGAAATAACCATTTGTAGTGTTCCAGTTATTATCCTATCTAATTTGATTCTGAAACACCATGCTTTTATTTCTATGCAGAGACTCAAATAACAGTACAGTACCTGTAATCATGCAGTTTTGTATTTTTGAGGCTTCTAGCCATACATTCTGTAGTGGTTGATGGAGACAATGAACCCTAATTTCCCTGGATTTTCAATATTCTGTTTACTTATCCTTATATTTACCAAATCGTTATTTGTGAGGTGTGAAAAATAAAATTAAATGTGGAAATCCACACCTCTTTATCCTGCAACTGGATGCCTCCATCTTAGCTCCCTGTCAATCATTGTTCTAAGCTCTGTCTGTCCTTTGCACCTGGTAGTCAGCACACAGAAAAGAGGAAAAACTAAGCAATGTTTCTGTATCTCCTCTTCATTTGCCATGTTTGCCTGGTGGTGCCTTGTCTGAACTGGATTATGCAATGTGCTAAATCTTTAATATTCATTTTAAAGAAATCTGGGCATAGTTTTTAGTTACCGTATATACATTCTAGGAAAGTGACAGTTTCTCTTTAAGTTGAAGCTCACTATTACAATGTACAATATTTATCTATCTCACAGGGCTTAAAATCTAAAGTCAGAGCTCATACCATAGTGCAGGGCTCGACAAACTCCATCGCCAGGTCGCCTTGGCGACCAGGAATTTGATCCTGGCGCCTGTTTGTCAGTCCATTCAGCGGCTGCGGAATCCGCAACCCTGCTGTGGCCGGCTTGGGAGATTAAAGGTGGTGGTGAGATGCCAGGAAGCCGGAATATGTCACCACGGCCCTGGCATCACTAAACAGCATGAGGGAACAGAGTAAAAAGAGCTTGAAGATTTCAGCAGCCACACTGAACTCCAGGGAAAAAATTCAGTCAAGCTCTCTCAACGGTAGGGAGGCTAGGTGAGCCTAAATGAAAAAAATAATAATTTGTGAGTGTGTCAATATCAGTGTGTGTCTGTCACTTTCAATAGCATCCATAGTGTGTGTGTCTGTAAGTGTGTGTGTATCATTCTGTCTGTCTGTCTGTGAGTGTCTGCCAGTGTGTGTTTAATCAGTGAGTCAGTATCTTCCTGTCATTGAGTGTGTGTGTGTGCCGCTCTGTCAGTGAGTGTGTCTGTTTAGGTGAACATCCCCCCTCCGATTGCATGGAAAACTTTTTTTTTTTTTTTTTTTACTCTCCTTTTTTCCATGTGTGCCAATCTTGCCGTGGCTGGCTTCACCTTCATTAATGATCTTTGCCAAGCCAGTGCTTTCCCATAAGAGAGAATTGGGAGGCTGCTGCGCATGCACAGAAAAACTGTGCAGAATGCAGAGACGCTGAACGTATGTGCTGCAGTGGCTGTCTGAGTGACTGTCATTAGAGGTGTTACAAGGCAGCAAAGTAAACACCGCCTTTTCTCTAATAAGGCAGTGTTTACACTAAAAAGCCTGCATGGACAGGCTGTAGACACCAGAACCACTACATTAAGCTGTATTGGTTCTGGTGTCTATAGTGTTCCTTTAAAAAATATATTTTTGTTGTTGAAAATAAAGCTTTGTTAGTTTAAAAAATATCCTAGCTCTGAACTTTTCCTGTCAAACCCTTCCCTAGTGTCATTCTTGCCTGCATAGAGCTCCTTATATCTCTGATTATTATCCTTGCCAATTAAATCTGTTCTTCTTATTGTGTACTGAATTTCCTATTATCTTTTTTTGCCTGATCTAAAATTCCAGTTACCGTGTACTAACTAATTAGTCTGTCACTTCACTCTGGCCTGATCCTGAGTTCCACTTAGTTAGATCGAAATTCTGTTCCTGTCTATCCAGAAGTCTATCCTTTCATTTAGTTCACATATTATCGGGTTGCTGAACTTGCTCACTCTGATCATGTCATCTCCCATAGTTACACAGATATGAGGAGTAAGGGTTAAACAGGCCGAGAAGAAAGGTTTATTTGACCAAGGCTCTACTTCTGTATTCTATTTTAAAATAGGTTATACAAAATAAGGGCTTGAGTTTTGCAGACTGTCAAGATTAATTACTAAAGGGAGAATTGTCAGGAATTGAAAGTAAATTTCAAATTTTACTGGAAGCATTGCTGTCTTTCTAAATTTTTCCTTTTCAGCTACCGGTACTTAGGTCTTAGTTTGTGTGGCATTAAAATCACTTCCCAGCAATTCTCACTTTGATGAATGAACCTGTATTTTCATCCTTACTTTAACAATCCTGATTATATATTGAATATCTTTCTGCATAATGTACACCCCATGCCCTTCTTTGCGTATGATGTAATATCAGTAAATAAAAACGAACAAGTCATCTAGCTTCGCTCTAACAGCGACTGTGGCGTATTCTCTGGGGGTCTTGTGTGCCACGTAAAGAAAGAGATCATTTGAGATCAACACCAATTAGCCCTGTATACACTGCAGCTCCTGATGGCAGCACTACTATGCTGTTAATTATAGCAACATTAATAAGCAGAAGTACAGGCTGCAGAGTTCTCAAGCATCCATGGGGAGTAGGCAGTTTATCTTCTATGTAAAGTTTTACTTATTTTAAAGCAATGCAACCTCATCACTGACTTTAAAGAGCTTGACTTCTCCTTTATCCCATTCAGGACGGAGCCAATAGTACACGTTCTGATTAAAACAAAATGTAAACAAAAACTGGAATTTGCGCTATATGTCTGTTCAACCATAATTCACCTCTTTCATATTAAGCGCACCCACACTTATTATATAGCATTTTATTCAGGAGAAACAGGGCTTTAATTTCTGATGAACTATTCATATATGAAACATAACTTATTATGAATAAAATAAACAAAGGCGAGAAATTAAGATTTTTTTTTTTAGAAAATTTGTAGTTTCGCCTGACATTTTAGCTGTAAATGTCATAATACTGTTTGCTTTTAATGCAATAAAATGCACATATTTGTATTCAACAAAGTCTCACGAGTACAACACTACTCCCATTAACAGATTTTACTGTGTATTGGAAAGTTACAGTGTCAAATATAGCACATTCCATTTTTCATTTTTTTCACATTAGAATTTGCCAGATTAGTAATGTTACCTTTGAGACCGTGTGGTAGCCCAGGAATGAGAATTACCCCCATGATGGCATACCATTTGCAAAAGTAGACTACCCAAGGTATTGCAAGTGGAGTATGTCCAGTCTTTTTTAGTAGCCACTTAGTCACAAACACTGGCCAAAGTTAGCGTGAATATTTGTTTTTAGAAACATAGAAACATAGAATGTGACGGCAGATAAGAACCATTCGGCCCATCTAGTCTGCCCAATTTTCTAAATACTTTCATTAGTCCCTAGCCTTATCTTATAGTTAGGATAGCCTTATGCCTATCCCACGCATGCTTAAACTCCTTTACTGTGTTAACCTCTACCACTTCAGCTGGAAGGCTATTCCATGCATCCACTACCCTCTCAGTAAAGTAATACTTCCTGATATTATTTTTAAACCTTTGTCCCTCTAATTTAAGACTATGTCCTCTTGTTGTGGTAGTTTTTCTTCTTTTAAATATAGTCTCCTCCTTTACTGTGTTGATTCCCTTTATATATTTAAATGTTTCTATCATATCCCCCCTGTCTCGTCTTTCCTCCAAGCTATACATGTTAAGATCCTTTAACCTTTCCTGGTAAGTTTTATCCCGCAATCCATGAACCAGTTTAGTAGCCCTTCTCTGAACCCTCTCTAAGGTATCAATATCCTTCTGAAGATACGGTCTCCAGTACTGTGTACAATACTCCAAGTGAGGTCTCACCAGTGTTCTGTATAATGGCATGAGCACTTCCCTCTTTCTACTGCTAATACCTCTCCCTATGCAACCAAGCATTCTGCTTTTTTGTGTGAAAAAAGTAAAAAATAACAAAATATTTGGCCAGTGTCTGTGACTAAATGGCTACTAAAAATGACTGGACATACCCCATTTGTAATACCTTGGGTTGTCTACTTTTGCAAATGGTATGCCATCATGGGGGTAATTCTCATTCCTGGGCTACCATACAGTATCAAAGGCAACATTTCCAAACTGGCGAATTTTAATGTGAACAAAATTAAAAATGGAATGACGGCAGGGGAGTGGTCCAGGGGGGGAGAGATATATCTCGGTGTCTTTAGCGTACAGGTGGTAGTGGAATTCAAATGAGGTAATAAGTTTGCCAAGAGAAGCAGTATGAAGAGAAAATAGAAGGGGACCAAGGACTGAGTCTTGGGAGACTCCAAACAAGACAGGAGGAGGGGAGAAGGTATTAGAAAAGGACACACTGATTGAGCGGTGGAAGAGATAAGAAGAAAACCACGAGAGGCAGAGTCACAGAGACAGAGTGATTGAAAAGTTTGAAGAAGGAGAGCATGATCAACGGTGTCAAAGGCAGCAGAGAGGTCAAGAAGAATTAGTATGGAGTAGTGGCCTTTGGATTTAGCTGTGATTAGGTCATTTGTAACTAAAATAAGAGCAGTTTCTTTAGAGTGGATGAAGCGAAAGCCAAATTGAAGAGGATTGAGGAGGGAGTTGGAATTTAGGAAGTGAGTCATATGAGTAAGACAAATCTTTCTAGAAGTTTTGAGGAAAAAGGAAGCAGGGATGTGGGGCGATAGTTGGAAAGGGAATATAGGTCTAGGGATGGCTTTTTCAGGATGGGTCCGAATGTAGCATGCTTTAGGGGAGCAGGGACAACACCAGATGAAAGAGAGCAGTTTAGGATGTGTGTTAAGGAAGGCACAAGACAGGGGGAGAGAGATCTGATAAGGTGAAATGGGACAGGATCGAGCGGTCAAGTGGTGGGGTATAGTTTGTATACCTAGCTGCGATTGTTCTGTCAGAGCATACTATGTAAACATATTTAACCCTTCACTGTACCCACACTTTTATACAGTACTATTCAAGGAATAAAGAGAATACCAGGTTGCGCCTATTTAAACCAAATACACCATACCGAGGACTGGTACACCTATGGATCAAAAACCTATTTGAGGATTTGGATTTTTTATTTGTCCCTGTGTGTCTCATTGTATGTACTGGGTATAGAATGTTTCACTTTATTTTGATAGGTGCAACTTTGCATTTTCTTTATTTCTGTTTTATCTGTTTTTGTGGGTATAGAGGCACACTTAATTTTGTAATGTTTGCTGCCTGGCTGACTCCATCACAGACTCAAGGCACCGTACCTATTCTTGTTATTTTTTACTATCCAATGGCAGACACATAATTGTAACCAGACAAGTTTGACGCACTGGAACAGAGGGATTGAGGACTCTGCTCAATGAGCTTACATGCTAGGGGGAGAGGGGTAAGGATCATTCCATTTTAAATATTGGGTCCTTAAAGAAAATATTATCATAGGCTGCCATGATAGGTTAACGGACTAGGAGCCTTCTAGTGACTATTGCTCATCTATAGATTCTGATTGTTATATAGATTCAGTTTTATTGTTTTTATCATTCCTAAACATGTATCTTTTATCCAACAGAATGAAGCATCATTGGGAATGGTTGGTGTGGTTGATGACATTGCTCATTATTGTAGCAGCCACAGAAGCCCACGGCAGTTTAGATGATGATGAAAAGGAGGAGCTGCTGGACAACATAGAAGAAGTTCACAGTGAAGAATCCAAAAGTTATCTAGAGGTGAGCTGTGTTTTGTAGTGCATTTCACCTACTTCTACCATCTACTAGGCATTGCATCCATTTACTTCTATGCATTGAGGCTCAACAAAATATAAAGTGGGGAACTATTGGACTAAAATAAACACTATATAGTGTTAGGAATATGAAGCTGTAGTTCAATGAGATGAAGTGGTTAGGGTGCCTACAGTGTTCCATTAATTAAATGTTTGGACACTTCCAAGTCTCTTCATGAGGACTTAATTAAGTTAAGATGTGTATCTTAACTTATATACACTAACACATATAAGCCTTTCTACCCGCAGTATTTTCTTTCTTCAGTGAAGTGGTCTGGGTGCTTCTACTTAATTGGGGCTTCAGGAATGGTTGCCGATCATGAGGCAATGAGTGCCACCTAAGAGGCTTATGTGTGCCATAAAATGGCTATGTCACCTTCAGGAGTCTTTGCCTATTTTGCCCAAGTGATCTTGTTAGGTCAATGTTTTGTTTAACCAATGAAATTAACTATTTAAAACAAATATTGAATGTGCATTATATGAATTTAGTGTATATGGGGAATGATTTCCATGTATTAACCCTAGATGGATGTTATAATCCTCTGGGATTTATAGACCTTTGTAAAAAATTTTAAGTCATAGACATGAACAAGCACACACATAGTAACCAACACACACACACACAGGCAAACATGCACACAAAGAAACAGGCAGGCTCACACATGTGCACTAAGACACAGACAGGTACAGATAGGCATAGACAGGCACATACTACATGCAGTGCCAAAACAAACCATCACTGGATTAGAGCACATAGCTAAGAATGACTAACCTTCACAAATCTTATTGTCTGCCCACTCTCCTTTGACTGGCTGAGGCTTTTGGGACTAGCAGTACAACATCAGAGAAGCCTGAGATGTGATGCTGGATGAGAATCATTTAGGTCATCATATTCAACCCTACAATTTACGATTTTTTTTTTAGATATATTTATTGTATTTATTAATAGGGGATAACAATTCACAAGAATTATTGACAAACCTGATTTGTACAAAAAAACATATTGTATAATATTATATCAGGGGGTTTCCATGCTAAGAATATCAAAATTTATATACAGCCGTTTATATTATTATTATTATTGCCATTTATATAGCGCCAACAGATTCCGTAGCACTTTACAATATTATGAAAGGGGATTTAACTATAAATAGGACAATTACAAATAAACTTACAGGAACAATAGGTTGAAGAGGACCCTGCTCAATCGAGCTTACAGTTTATACATAGTCACAATAATGTTACCCCACTATCCCTACTTTAGGCTCAGTTTAATCACTATTTTTTGTCTAGAACTTTGGTTTATTTTAATAATATAACCACTAACACATAATAAAGGGAAAAAAAATAAACATTGAGAATTAATATTGGTATTAAAGTTGCTGCAGAGGACAGCCATATGCTTAACACGAGTTGTCTTTTCTACGACCTTCCAATGTGTAATTAACCTCTCCTTTTAGACTAATGCATACAACCACTACAACATCACAGAAATAAATTAAATGAAAAGGTGTTTGCCAATATAACAGCTGTAATATACTCTGCAGCATTTTAGTGTTTTCAGTTCCTGGTAATAATGGTCGACTTGGAAAACTGCTTGCCAGGGATATGTGCTAGCAATTAAGAATACATAGCCTAACTTATAAGTAAAGACAAAAAACATTACTGGACTGCTTCTCACTCACTGAGTCCCTAATGCCTCTGCTGGCATAGACCTGCCCAGGCTACCCTGCTGGATCATGCATCATTTATGGCTCTGCTGTCTATTGAGCCACATTAGTAAATATGCTGGGACTTCACTCTGGGAGACAGTCTACCAGTCTCCACCGCGGCCACCACAATGTAAGTAATCGCTGAAGTTCGGGCATGTCAAGTAATTTTGGATCTGTGCATAGCCTCGGTCCTTGACCAGCCCAGGACTTGCGGTTAATATTATTAAATGGATTTTGTAGGCTGGGGGTTATTTTAGGGCCCACACTTGTCCCCCACATCCCAACTTCCCTGATTGTTATATAATGTTACATTACTTGTCATTTTTCTTATACCTGTTCCCGAAATATAGATTTTTTTTTAAAATATATATTTTGTTACTGTCTGTATTAGAACATGATATATAGTTTTTTTGTGACATTTCTGTTAAATGTGTGCTATTTGTTACACTTTAGGTTGCATATCAAAGTCCAGCTCCTAGTGGAGATGTCTATTTCACAGAAACGTTTGATGCTGGAACACTGGATGGGTAAGTGATTGCTTACCAAAATGAAATACACCCGCGTCCATGTTTAATGGTGTCATGTAAATTATCTAGTACATGAAATTATGACATTAGGCAGTATTGTATATGGATTGTTGCTTAGGGATGGCAAAATAAAAAGAATACTACTTTGTTATTAGGCTCTAAATACCTTGGACTAGACTTTGAACACCAGGTTAGACAGAATATGATTGTTCAGGCTGATGAAACATTGCTAGCATTGCTTAGAATATATATCTATCTCCCAACTGTCTTGGTTTTGGTGGGATAGTTCTAAACTAAGACTCTAGTTTCACCATTCCAGTTACCTGGTACCCCACGTTAGCATAGTGTGAGTGTATCTAAAATAAATGCTGTCAGGCAATTATGAGGGCATTAAGCCCATGCCCAGAGTGCTTCAAAGCATGTGCTGCCCTGTGTGGGTCGGCCAGACAGGCTGTCAATAAGTCTTGCATGCGAACACTACTTCTGTGGGTGTTCCCCTCCCATTTTCTCAGTACGCAGTGTTGGAAGATATCAATATATAAGAACATATGATTTACCTTACCAAAATATGCTTCTACATTTTAATGTATACAGTTTCTTTGGAAACAAAATTCCAAAAATAAATCTTTTATTCAAAGCTAATAGATCTTTTTGAGGAGAGGGGAAAGTGCAGTAGATTACTTGCTGTGTCGGGAATAATAGATCAGGCAGAATCAGTAGGTGGGCGAAGGAAGCAAAGTATTTATGTGATGGAAACAATCGATCACTGGAAACTGTAAATGCGTCTTGGCCTAGACTCCATTATCTGTGAGACTGCAAAATGAATATTACCTTGTTGAGATATTTCTGGGAAATGTCCTGCCAGTTCTATTGATATTGAAGTGGAACTGAATTTGTAACAGAGCAGAGGAAATAAGTGATAGAGTTTATGAAACGAAATTGAACTTTGCTTGGACAAAAAAAACATACCCATACTTATATTATCCAGCTGAATAATGGATTTGAAACCTATTTTACAACTTGCATATTAAGTAGAAAATATTAAATGGATACTCCAAGAATTATAACCGCTATAGTCCACTGTAGTGATGATGAGGTGAGAAATGCCCTGGCGGTGTTCCCCAGTAAAGGGACAAACCATTTTGGAAATATTTGCCCCCTTACCTGGGTCATGCCAGGTGATGAGTCTCCTGTGCTGCAGGGTAACATGGATACTGCTTCTCCAGAAGCCAGATATCGATCCCCGCAGCCATTTAAAGAGTTAAGCTCTCTTGGCCAATTAATAAAACTCTTGATCCGGGCTGAATAATGACGCTGCCCGAGGGGGAGTTACACCTCCAGCAGCAATGGGTTTAAACTCTGTATTTTCAGCTTTTCATAGCGAAATCCTGCACATTCAGAATTCAAACGCCATGACCAATTCAAATCACTGAAGTGATAATTTTGCTTGAAGTAAGCCTTGGTTTAAACTCTCATACATCTATTCTTACAGGTAACCACCACAAGCTCCTACTTGCACACCGATCCCCACATTATTCCTCACAAAGTAATATTATCCTAAGAAATATTGTTTGCTTTATTTGGGATGTTAGGATGTTATTCTGTTCTTTCCTTGAATAGTAAATATAAGAATATATACTGTGATGGTAGTGTGACACGATACTAAATGAGAACAGGGGAGCTTTGCAATAGAAATGAGCAGTCAGACTATGGAAGACCACTGTAGCTGATCTACAAAGACTGTTGGCTGTTATAAAGTTACAACCCTTTTCAGCTGCCACAAAAATGGAGAGTTCTCTCCATCAACCAGCCATCCGTAAGCTGAGCAATCCCTTAAATTGTTAAATGCTGAGGAAAATGTTGGCGCAATAGAAATGCCAATAATAATATTTTATAGTAACTCCTAAATATTCTGCCACTCTGCAAATAAAACCCCAAAACAAATAAAATAAGATCTTTTAAGATATCTCTTACTGTTTTAGAGGAAAAAGGTGGAAACCTCATTTTATATATTTTGATGACCTTTTTTTTTATTTGTTAATGCTTTACTATTAAAGCAAATGTTCCTGTCTAATCAATAACGTGTCCAGAGACATAGAGATACAATACTAGTAAACAACCTCTATCTTTATCTTTTCTACATATTGACATTTTTTGTTTGACACTTATATATTGCCAGCTGGGTGCTCTCCAAAACCACAAAGGAAGATGCTGATGAAGAAATTGCTAAGTACGATGGTAAGGGATTTTTACTTCAGTTGGTCAAGTTGTTAGTTTTTAAATTTTTTGCATGTTTTCTTAAGTGCTGAATCTATAGACTGAGTGGGATAATTTCCGCTATGTTTCATTTGTATGTTGTGGTACTGAAATCCCAACCAAATGTATAGATTTAGATTAAAGCAACACTTAACGTTAAGACTACACAACTGTATTCTTAACGCCATAGTGTCTCTCTGCCCTAAACTTATTGTCCCGCCTGTTTCTATGGACTGTTTGAATGTGCACGCGGCTCTTGCCGCGCTGTGCATTCCGTTCCACTCGGAGCAGAGTAATGGTAACACACTGCCCTACACATCACATAATGGTAAAACACTACCATACACATCATATATTGGTAAACCACCATACACATATTATGGTAAAACACTACCATACACATCATATTATGGTAAAACACTGCCCTTCACATCATATAATGGTAACACACTGCCCTACACATGGTGTAATGGTAACACATTGCCCTACACATCATGTAATGGTAACACACTGTCCTGCACGTCATGTAATGACAACACAATACCATATAATTATGTAATGATAAAAAACTACCATAAACAACATATAATGGTAACACACAAACCTTCACAGCATGTAATGATAAAACACTACTATACACATATTGCAATGGTAACACAATGCCATACACATCATGTAATGGTAACACACTGCCCTACACAGCATGTAATGACAACACAGTACCATATAATTATGTAATGATAAAAAACTACCATAAACAACATATAATGGTAACACACAAACCTACACATCATGTAGTGATAACACACTGCCCTACACATCATGTTATGATAAAACACTACCATACACATATTGCAATGGTAACACAATGCCATACACATCATGTAATGGTAACACAATGCCCTACACATCATGTAATGGTAACACAATTCCATACACATCATGTAATAGTAACACACAAACCTACACATCGTGTAATGGTGGTAGACTGTCCTACATACAATGTTATTGTAACACATTGTCCTATATATTCTGTAATAGTAACACATTGTGGTGAGGATATCTTGTACATTGGTTAGTCCCATAACTTGTGTTATACCCTAACTATACTTGTGTTTTTTTACCCAGGGAGATGGGAAGTGGAAGAGTTGAAAGAAAACAAATTGTCAGGAGACATGGGGCTGGTTCTGAAATCTGTGGCAAGACACCATGCCATTTCAGCAAAACTGAACAAGCCTTTTATATTTGACAGTAAACCTCTCATTATTCAGTAAGTTTCCAAACTACAATCCATGTGCTGTGCTTGTTTTCATTAGATATACCAATCATTGAACATATATTGTGTTCTGGAGGGTTTAATGATCAATTATTCAAGTTACCAGACAGGTTACAATAAATACTATGGTAAATGTAAAACAGGATATCAAAACTAAAGGTTGACAGTAGTGGAATTGCTGCTATACTTTTCTAGCATAGGCTTAAAAAGTGATGAATTTCTGCAAATGGGACAGGGGAGGTGAGAAGAACACTATGGGACGATGAGGCGGGGAAAAAACACTATGGGACGGTGAGGCGGGGAAAAAACACTATGGGACGATGAGGCGGGGAAAAAACACTATGGGACGATAAGGCGGGGAAAAAACACTATGGGACGGTGAGGGGGGGAAAGAACACTATGGGATGTTTAGGGGGGGGAAAGAACACTATTGGATAGGGGAGGGGGGAAAGAACATTATGGGACAGGGGAGCAGATTGCTACTGAACATGCTGTTCAGTGTTACATCTATCATTTCATTTGTAACCTTTGTTTTTGAATGTATACCATTTTTTTTAGCTCTACAACAGATATATTCATCACTTCTTCCGCCTCAAAAGTGTTCTGTTTCACTTCTATAAATACGAATCGATTTAAACCAAAACCACTGTAAAAGACACTTTTCAAAACTCTTTGATAGATCTTAACCAATGTCCCACGTTAGCAATTTGGCTAATGTTGCTTTTGTTCAAAAAGTCTGAACTGATATTATAAATAAATCAGAGACTATTTTTAGGGGCCCCTTAATAACAAACTTACTTCTAAACTGCTCCTCCTCTGCAAGATCACCACTAATAAGAATCTCCCAGCCAATGCATTTCCTAGAGGAACATTATGGGAACATTGGGAGCATGTGTAGCAATTGCCATGATCCACCGGCGATGCTTCTTGTGAAGAATGCAATCCAATCAAAGGATTGAAACCAATGGTTCTCTATGAAAAGTCCTCACTTCAGTTTTGAATGAGGAAGACAACCCTCCCGGTCGTCTGGCTAACAACTGGGGTGTTACCAAGGGTGTTTCTTGTGAAAACTGCACTTTTAAAAAATAAGCGAAAGGGGATATGCTATTAACCCTAAAGTACTTTAGGGGCTTGTCAAGTTCCTTTAAAGCTTCATTCTGAGCACCTTTGCAACTTTTTATTATTGGAAAGGCGATGGGGAATTCTCAGCTCTGACAGTGGCTTAGAACTCTAGTTATCTGTACTATGCCTGCCCTCTGAGCTGTTAATCAGACAGACTGCATCTCTTTAATGAGTGGAATTGTTATGAGATATGAATAGATCCACAGACCAAAATGAGAGTCTCCTGATTGGAGGTCTCTTACTCTTGTGTTTGTGGTTTTTAATGCATGGTCAGGGCTCAAAATTTCAAGTTCTGTGCTACATGCTAGGCTTTGTTACTCTCAACTTCAAGCCTAGAGCTAGCACACTCACCAGGGTGATTTTCTACTCAAGGGCTGACTTTTCATTCACCAGTGTGTAGTGGGCAGCTGGAAATTTTGACCCCTGATAATGCTTAAGAATACATGGTCATTTTTATCTCATAGTTTCCCTTTAAACCAATACTGAGAGGTGAATTAACCAGTTTTTGTTTTTTTTCTTTGAATAAATGTTAGTAAAAGTTCCTTTATTGATACTGATTGATTGGTTGTGTTCTCCCAACATATATTTTAGTTCCTGTCATTTCCATTACATTTAAAAAGCTTTAAATGGTTCCATAGTGTGTGATACTTGTAATCACAGGGCTCACTACCTGCACTTAATAATGTGTTTAAAAATCAATGTTTAAACATTTGAGCATTAACATTTCAAAACAAATAATTATACTTATATTAAATGCCTTGAGACTATCACATGTTTTTCTGTTTGATGGGATTTAGCCATAACCGTTGCTGATCTAATTTCTTTCTATTCCAGATATGAAGTGAATTTTCAAGATGGGATTGATTGTGGTGGAGCTTACATAAAACTACTTACTGATCCACACTGTCAGAACCTGGTGTGTGAGGTTTTAATATTTGTTCTCTACTTCAGTGTTTGTTTCTCAATTAAGGAATCATAAAAAAGGATTGAGAAGGACTAATTCCTATATGCAGTGGAAGGCATGTGTTTTAATATTTAATTGATCATTTTACCCCCTTTCTGTATTCTAAAATACATATCTAGTGCAGTATATTATTTCTGTCTTATAGCCTTTTATGAATTAAAAAAAACTAAGAAAAAACTACCTGCACACTATTCCAAATCCCTGTGCATGTTTATAAATGGAGGTTTTTAGTTCCATTCCAATGGCCATTAGATGTAAGCCCACCTGCCCCGTCAAGTAGGGATCGACCGATTATCGGTATTCTCGGCAATATCGGTATCGGCCAATTCAGATACCGATATTGCCGATAATACCTCCTAGGACTGCCAGGCTCATTACAAGCCCGGCGGTCCTGGGGGGGGGGCAGAGAGCAAGCGCTTACTCACCTCCCAGCAGCTCCTCCAGCTCCCCAGTGTAACTCTCGCGAGACCCGCGGCCGTCAGAGCGTTGCCATGGTAAATGTACAGAATATCGGCAAATTATATCGGCTATCGGCCTGAAAGTTCACAGAATATCGGTATCGGTATCGGCTCTGAAAAATCAATATCGGTCGATCCCTACCGTCAAGGCAAACCTCTTGGGTGGGTCCTTCGCTTACATCTAATGGCCATTGGAGTGGAACTAAAAACCTCCATTTATATAAACATGCACAGGGATTTGGAATAGTGTGCAGGTAACTCTTTTCTTTGGTTTTTATTGTATGTATTTGGGCTGATGTATACTATCGTCGTTGCTGCCACCCAGGAGTAGTGGGAGTTTGAGCGAAGGACTTATTATTGTGTATTTGTATGATACCTTTCACATTTCTCACAATGTGGCAGCTACCATTTGCCTACAACTATATAGTTTTTTGTTATATGTCTTTGTAGGAGGAGTTTCATGACAGAACACCTTATACGATCATGTTTGGTCCAGACAAGTGTGGAGAAGACTATAAACTGCATTTTATCTTCAGGCATAAAAACCCTATCATTGGAGACTATGATGAAAAACATGCAAAGCGTCCTGAGGTTGATTTAAAAAAGTACTTTAATGACAAAAAGACACATCTTTATACACTTGGTAAGCTTAATTTATGTCAATAATATTCTACAACCAGTGATAAACCGTTAGGTTGTTATCAGCTATATCTATGTGCCCCAATATTTGTGTCCCCTCATACAGTATATCACACCCGCACTTACGCATGTCTCTTAAAGTATATATCTGCATAATATGTATGCATTTGTGTATATACATGTACTTGAATACATGTGTGACTGACTTTGTGTGCACCTATATAATCCACCGTAGCAGCTTGCTCACTAAGAGGTTCGTTGGTAGTCTATCCTAAATTAGTCTATCTTTAAGTAGGATTTTGTACCCACAGAAGTTAGAAAACACTTTGAAATGTTGCAGTTGTTTTAGTGGGGCAAGTATTAGGGTTAGCAAGATTGGAAATTTGAATCAGTGCACAGTATGCTGTATGTATGCCTGCCTGCACAAGTCTTTTCAGGGAACATAATGCTGTGGCAAATGTGAGTAAATGACTTCTCTGGAAACATGGATTGGAGATCTAGAGAAGCAAATGGTGACACTGAGGTGGTCGGACAACCTTGAAAAGGGCTTACTGCTCACTGAGCCAAGTTTAGTGGTGGCCGGTAGGGGAGTGGGAGAAGATGAGATAGCTGGGGAACAGGCAGGTAGCTGGGTGACAGTTGGGTGAGGTAACAGAGAGGGAGGGAAGAGTGCTGCCAGTCCTGATTTTCTACACCACAGCTGATTCGCCCGCTTGAGGGAAGATATTCAGAGAATCAACTCAGAAGTGGCTGTGCTGGAGAAAGCTGCTCCTTCTAACAGCCATGGGGAATAACCCCTCTTTGAATGGGATGCAGAATGGAGGAAAGCTAGGCAGGTTGTGGTGGTAAGGGATTATATTATAAAAAAAAGAGTATATAGGGTAATCTGCCGCTCTGCTCGCACCAACCAGGCAGTTTGCTGTCTCCCAGATGCTCGGGTGCAGCATGTTGCTGACAGAGTGGGTGAATTATTGAAAGTGGCTGATAATGACCTGACTGTCATGGTCTATATTTGTACCAATGACAAAGTAAAAAAAAAATGGAGGACCTTAAAGAATGTGTTTTAAAGAAAGTGCACATAAAAAGATGCATACATAATTAAAGTGCATATTGAGAAAAAGTTCTTATCTCAATGTGCAACATTCTGAGCTATTAAAAATCCCAAATTAAATTATTTGTGCCATTTTTAACTTTACCACCCCAAAATACTTAATAGTTAATAATTTATTGACTCTCCATTCAGACCCTTTACCCTTCACCTCTTTTTCTGCTATTTAATGCAACTTTCTCTCTTTTTTTCCCCTTCTGTCTTTCTTATATTTGTCTCTTTCCATCTTTCAAAATTTGTTCCTGCATATAATTCCCTTTATCTCTGTGTTATGATTCCCCCCATTCAGTTCCTTCTATATATCTTTCCTCATTCCTAAACGTTACGGGCTTGCAGCTTGAAAAACACATAATTGAGCACTTGAGCACTCAGTCAATTTTCTGATTGGCTGGGGAGTGCAACCATCAGAATCCAGTGTAGGAGCTGAGATGTGAGCTTCGGTCTGCTCGGATCTCCATTTCACTGCCCCCAAACTAGGTAACGGTATTTTAAAAGGTCAGGTGATATTATATTCTAAGAATAGCTGTAGGCTGCTCAGTACATTTTGGAGTTTAGGGTTATAAGGTTAGAGAAGAAGATTTAGCAATACACGGCTAAAGGGTGAAACATGTACAATGTGGTTTTGAGACTAGCAGACAGAGGGCAATGGAGTTCACATGGCAGGGATGTTTATTTTCAGTTATATTGAGGCCTAAAAAGGTGTTTAATTCTTAAGTTTTAAGTTCATATTTTGATTTACTAAACTAAATTCTGATCCACTAGCAATTCTTATCCACAATATATTTCCCAAACCATTGCACTCCCCATAAAAAAAAAAAGTGTTAAGTGAATAAAAATGCTGTAGCCTTTAAGACAAATTTTATAGAAATTGTAAAATAGTCGCAGCATGCTCTCCTTTTACCCTTCTAAGCAAATGAACATAGATACATAGTTATCAAAACATCTGTAGTGAGTGAAGAAGCACCTCCTAACTATTTATTCACTTGTAAGACATCTTTAATAACTGTTTAATTACTCTCTCAAAAATTAGTTTTTCCAAATCTCCAAATACAGAGACAGGTGATCTGTGACATGCTTAGCAAGGCCGCTAATGGTAGATTTTCAGTGATTTCTAATTTAAAGGGACACTATAGTCACCAAATCACTACAGCTTAATATAGTGGTTTCGGTGTCTCTAAAACTGAACCAGGAATAAACAAACTAAGAACACTAGGATGGGTGGCAGCAAACCCCCAAGCAAACTAGAACAAGTCAAACAACAAAATACAAGTAGCGCCAAGAAAAATACTCCAAACACAATAGTATATAATAATAAAAGAAATAAGAGTAATAAACACACAGGATATAAAAAGAGTCCACAATAAAACTACCAAATGGTACGGCACAGTCTCGAAGGTGGCAATAGCTTTTCTAGCCCTGGTATGGGACTTTCTTGGTAGCTTCGTTTAATAGCAGTATATGAAAAGAAAGTAAAAACAGAGCCAAACCAATAGTGCAATATGGTAGAGGCAAACCAATAGTGCAATATGGTAGGACAAACGATACTTAGATAAGAGGTCAACTCACATATGGTAGAGCTATAACCAGCTCTAGGTAAAACAGCATGCAGTGGTATACAATCCCCACTTGCAGGATATCCCTCTGGTTTTGGTACACAGTAGAATGATAGTAAATCACAACTGGATAACGAAGATCATATGGAATGACAAAAAAGCATCCAATAGTGCTCTCTATACAGATAGGTAATAACAATAAGGTAAATTAAAATATACTTACAATATAGTGAGCAGACTAACCACTCTATGTATAAAGCCTGGGTGGTATAATGCCCACAAGGATTTCTTTGGTTGGTTGTCCATGGTAGGTAATAGGTCCAGATGTCAGGTAAAAGTATTAAAATAAATAATAATAATAAGTTCTAAAAATATATGACTAAAAAGCAGGTAGTGAGGTAGCCAAAATACTTTATTTAACAACAGCATAAAAACCACAACGCTTTCTCTCCTTAGGGCTTTCTCAAGTGGTAAAAAGAATATGTCACAGAAAGTGTATTGTGTGTAAAACTACCCAGGGGCTAGTGCAAAATAAAACCACTAACTTCACTTCGAACATCACTAAAAAAAACTTTAATATAAATGTATTACATGTAATTCTAGTAATGTCATTTATCTATAATACGTAGGCATGACCTCTAGAAGTCTAAAAACGCGAATATCAGAACATTGTCGAAACATAACAAAAGGATACTTAAATCACACTATATCAAAACATTTTTAAAACATCAAAAAAAACAGGATGTTTAAAATCTATACTTTTTCAAACTCCCCCCCTCTAATATGGCTGTTTAATTGTTTCATACTCCCACCCCCCGCCCCCCAATATGGCTGTTAAATTTTCTACTTATGTTTTCACCTTCCAATATGGCCACCATATGCGACCATTATGCCATGCAATCTTCCTTCCTTATAGGCTAAGCCCCTTCCTATAAGTCCAGCCTTCTCTTTCTCTCTGATGATTTGATTACATCCCATGCAAGCTATAATCCTGAAATCTCGTGATATTGAGATTGTCCATATTTTAAACTACATGTCCCATAAAGCATATAGCGCCTATGCCGAGATTTCTTTGTCATACCGTTCATTCCTAAACCCTCATTTTTAAAATCTAATTATACAGGCTACACTACTACACACAATATATCGCTTAGACCTAATAAAGTTTCTATTGGGGGGGGGTGATTTTCTTTCTTTCTTTTTTTTATTAGCCATGCAATTGTGGTCATGTGATTAATGACGTCATTATGGCGCCAAAATAAAGTTTTTTAAAGCCTATATAAACCCAGTTATGTCCGGTATATGTTTTTACCACTTGAGAAAGCCCTAAGGGGAGAAACGCATTGTGGTCTTACTGTTGTTAAATAAAGTATTTTGGCTACCTCACTACCTGCCTTTTAGCCATATATTTTTTAAAACTTATTATTATTTATTTTTATACTTTCACCTGACATCTGGACCCATTAACTCCTGTGAACAACCAGCCAAAGAAATCCTAAGTACCGTATATACTCGAATATAAGACGAGTTTTTCAGCACATTTTTTGTGCTGAAAAACCCCAACTCGTCTTATACTCGAGTCACTGTCTGTATTATGGCAACTTACATTGCCATAATACAGACCAAGCCCGGCGGTCCTGTTGGGAGCTGGCAGAGAGCTGTTACTTACCTTTCCTGCAGCTCCTGTCATCTCCCTTCACCTCCGTGCCGGTCAGCTCCCTTCTTCTCCACTGTAAGTCTTATGAGAGCCGCGGGTAAGAGCGTTGTTACCATGGCAACGCTCCGCGCGGCACTCAGACCGCAAGACTTACAATGGAGGAGAAGGGAGCTGACAGGAGCTGCAAGAAAGGTAAGTAACATCTCTCTGCCAGCCCCCCTCCTACGCAGCCCATGCCACTGGACCACCAGGGAATAAGAGCACCCCTCCCTGGCCATGTATCAAGCAGGGAGGGGGGACAAAAAAATATAAATACAAATTTAAATAATAATATAATAAAAAATGTATAATATTAAAATAAAACAAAAATGATACTATTAAAAAAACACAAAATGTAATATTAAAATAATAATAATAATAATTTAAAAAAATAATAAAAATGCCAACCCCCCCACCAAGGTTACACACTTTGCATCACACACACTGCATTCATACACACACCCTGCATTCATACACACACTGCATTCATTCACACACACTGCATTCATACATACACACTGCACTCATACACACACATACGGTCCTGTTGGGAGCTGGCAGAGAGCTGTTACTTACCTTTCCTGCAGCTCCTGTCATCTCCCTTCACCTCCGTGCCGGTCAGCTCCCTTCTTCTTCACTGTAAGTCTTGCAAGAGCCGCGGGTAAGAGCGTTGTATTTCATACACACACTGCATTCACACACACACACACTGCATTCACACACACACACTGCATTCATACACACACACTGCATTCATACACACCCACACTGCACTCATACATACACACTACACACACTGCATTCATACACACACACACACTGCATTATATACACACACACTGCATTCATTATATACACAAAATAAATATTCAATTAATGTAATTTTTTGGGGATCTAATTTTATTTAGAAATTTACCAGTAGCTGCCGCATTTCCCACCCTAGTCTTATACTCGAGTCAATAAGTTTTCCCAGTTTTGGGGGTAAAATTAGGGGTCTCGACTTATATTCGGGTCGACTTATACTAGAGTATATACGGTATATTTTTATTTACCTTATTGATACTTATCTATCTATTTAGAGAGCACTATTGGCTGCTTTTTTTTCTTTCATTACACATGATCTACCTTATCGTTATCCAGTTGTGATTTACGATCATTCTACTGTGTGCCAAAACAGGGATATCCTGCAAGTGGGAATTGTATACCACTGCATGCTGTTTTACCTAGAGCTGGTTGTAGTTCTACCATATGTGAGTTGACCTCTTATCTAAGGGTCGCTTGTCCTACCGTGTACTACCATGTTGCACTCTGTTTTTGCTTCCTTTTCATATACTGCCATTAAGCGAAGTTACCCAGAAAGTCCTACCTGTCTCTTGCTCTCTCCTATAGGGCAGTGCTTTACTCTCTCCTCCAGCTCTGCTTTACTCCCACCTTATTTGATTGATATTTCCTGTCCTAACGTGTTTTATACCCCACTTCCTGCAGACTGTAAGCTTGTTTGAGCAGGGCCCTCTTCAACCTATTTTTCCTGTAAGTTTTCTTGTAATTGTCCTATTTATAGTTACATAGTTACATCCCCCCTTTCATAATACTGTAAAGCGCTATGGAATCTGTTAGCGCTATATAAATGGCAATAATAATAATAATACCAGAGCTAGAAGATCTATTGCTACCTTTTAGACTGTGCCGTACAATTTGGTAATTTTTATTCCTTCAGGTTTTATTGTGGACTCTTATTATATTCTGTGTGTTTTTTTATTGCTCTTATTATATACTATTGTGTTTGGAATATTTTTCTTGGTGCTACCTGTATATTGTTGTTTGACTTGTTCAAGTTTTGGTGTCTATAGCCTGGCCCTGCATGCTTCTCAATGTAAACAGTGCCTTTGTACAGAAAAGACAGTGTTTACTGTTTACTCCACGCTCAGCATGAAGACGCTAATTGCTTCCTATAGAAATGCGTGATTTAAAAAAAAAAATGGAACAACTGCAGAGAAAAGCCAGGGATACCATTGTGACATATATATGCCCAGGAAACAATGCTACTTTAATTACATGTCACTGTTTAAATGGATACGTTCAGGGGCGGAGCTTAACCACGGAGCCGAATGGACGCCATCATCCACGGCTCCCCGGCACCAAGACACAATCTGCCGCGCATCTCAGGTAGGGGGGGCCATCGAACCGCGGGACCCACAGCCACAATCCCAGGGCTCACAGGGCTACCCACCGATGCCCTTTTTATACCCACAATCGGGCAAAAAACGAATCCGCAAATCCCGGGCCTACCTCACTCTCCCGCCGGCATCGCAGCTACCCGTGGGGATCCCCCTGAGCCTGGAGGACTGGTGCGGACAGCGGGCAGGTCACCACTCACCCGACAACGATATGGGGAGGCGAACACAGAAGCCACAACAGGCAGCACCCAGGGACTCCCAAGATATTGGGACTCTGCTGCAACGCACAGCAGGCCACAAAATGGCGGCCGAACAAGACCAGGAACCTGGCCCCACACACTCAGTACAGCTGTCCCAGGGAAGCAGCACAGACATGAGAGCTGAAGCTCCCAGCAGCCCACAAGCAGAGGGGGATGAATCAGCCCCAGCCACTAAAAGGGACATCAGACTCCTATTACAGGAGATGAAGGGGCTGTTTGACACCGACATAAACTTAATCCGCACAGAAACGCAGGCGGTGACGGCAAGAGTACAGGCCTCTGAAGAAGATATACTAGACCTCCGACAGGAGGTGAAGAGCATGGGGGACGCCCTGAAACATTTACAGACCGCGAACTCAGCGCTCCAAAACACGCTAGACGCCATGGAAGATCGCAACAGGCGCACACATATTAAGATTCGGGGTATCCCTGATGCAGTGGGACCATCCGAATTACCACAGTACTTGAGGAGACTCACGGCCACAATACTGCCACATACACAAGCCAAAAAGCTGGAATTTGACAGCCACTTCCGCATTAACAAAGCAAAAAGGGCACCCACAACGGCCCCAAGGTACGTCATCGTCCGCTGCCATTCCACGACAGACAAACGCCGCATACTAGCAGCAGTGAGAGACAAGACACCCTTGGCCTTCGAAGCCTCACAACTTACCTTCTTCCAAGATATCACGCGGAGCACCCTACTCTGGAGAAAGTCCTTGAGCAACATCACGGAACAACTGCAGAAGGGGAACGTAGAATACAGATGGCTGTTGCCAAGAACCCTGGCGGTATTCAGCGGAGAAGAGGTTCTAAAACTCACCTCCCTCTCGGAGGCCCCAGCGCTTCTCCAAAAATTGGGACTAACTCAGAACACCCCAACACCAGGACCAACGCAAGCCACCCACTCATGGGACCCGGACAGAATAGTACCATACGTCCCTAGGAGCAACAAGAGACCGGAGGCAGAGACCTGAACACCTTAAACTGTTTACCTCTTAATTTTATTTCCATGCTCTGATATTCTCTCCTCTAATCTGATCTCACCCTATTGCTCTACCAAAATACGATATTTTACTATTAACTCCCCATACAAAGTCGGAGACGATCTCCCAACCCCCGCGACCCTCTTAGGTTAAGGGCCAACACTACCTACTAACCCAAGCATAGCAAGCGCGACACAAAACCCACACTCAGGCACAGACAGACGCACATATACAATTTTCACCAACGACGAACAACAGCACTTTACAATCACCAACACCCTCCCTCAAACCACAGAGAGGAGTGCCACTTAACCACTCACAGGACCCAAGCAACATAGACACAATCACTCACAACCAGCTCACCCTATGGGAACCTACCGCATGGGCACACTCGACACATTAGAAAACCAGAAAAAGTGCAGAAACATGACCACAAGTTCTTCCTGACTACTAGGACGCAAGCTAATCCCTCCGACCATAGAACAAAATGACTCATACTATATACTTGCTGCCAATCCTATGCTCCTGATATGTTATAAGTGTAAATTGTATAGACTGATCCAGACCCTTGGCAAAACAATTGTTATTTACTAATAGGCCTATGTTGAAAAGGCAGCTCAAGTATGTTATGCTTTGTCACATGTCTCAATGCACAGAAAATAAAGAATTTAAATGGATACGTTCAAGCATATGGTCCAGTTAAATTCCAGATGTTCTCATGCAGGATAATCTCATGTGGAATTAACAGCCCATTGACTTTTTGTTCCACTTAGTTGTGAAGCCAGACAACACATTTGAAATGCTTATTGATCAGACTGTTGTCAGCCAAGGAAGTTTGTTGGAAGACGTGATCCCACCACTTAACCCTCCCAAAGAAATTGATGATCCTAAAGACAAAAAGCCAAAAGAGTGGGATGAAAGGGCAAAAATTCCTGATCCTAATGTGGTAGAACCCGAAGATTGGTAAGAATTATTAACAGATGTGAGCTTTAATAACTCAGTAGCAGATATATTTGGAAGAATCATTTGGACTGTCAGTTGTTTAATTTGACGCAATGTGTGATGATTGTATGCATTTTATTTGCAAACTCCAACTGTCTCTCCCACATACTTACATCAAATATTATGTACTGTCTTCCGTCATCCAAAGGGGAGTCGTTATTTTTCTACTTACTCTAACAACATGGCATTTTATTGACCTACACTCTACTGTCCCTGTCTATTCTCTTTCACCTACCAACTTATTGAATTTTCTCTTTACCAAGGTCAAGTAACCTAATTTACCATTTACGTGAGCTCCATGTTATCTCTCCTTGCATCTTGCTAACATATTTTCTGTTATATTTAAAGGGACACTATAGGCACCCAGACCAGATCAGCTCATTGAAGTGGTTATTGAGAAACTGCAATAATTACCTGCTAGGGTTAACTCCACCTCTAGTGGCTGTCTAGAGGGACTTCCGGGATGTTACTTTTGGTCATCTAACTGACGCTGGATGTCCTCACATTATGCATGAGGATGTCCAGCGTCACCTGAAACCCGATATGAAAGCATTGTGTAATGTTTTCCTATGGGGGAAATCCAATTGCGTGTGCGGCCATTGCCGCACATGCGCATTAGGTCTCTCCCACCAGTGGGGGAAAAGCAGAGGCCTATTCCGAGCCAGTGCCCGTGCTGGACTCAGGTAAGTGACAGAAGTGGTTTTTAACCCCTTTCTCACCACTGGGCGGGAGGGGGCCTCTATAGGAAGCTATAGTGCCAGGAAAACAACTTTAAGAATTGAGTTAATGTCACCCTCTCTTTTTGACTTAGCTTGGTGTTTTTAATTTGAGATATTTAATGCCCCTATTGTTGAGATTAATAGCTTCCACTGATAGCAGAAATACACTGTAAAAGTTGTCACCAGCTAAGAACTTTTCTGCCAGTGTTGATTTCTACATGGCAGATCAGCATGGAAGGAAAAAAATAATTTAAACAATTATCAGCTATCTAGTGCTTGAAACTTCTCATTCCAACCAACTTTGGGAAACATATGTAGTGGGATCTAAAAATCCCCTATAAAACCAGTTGGCCCCTGTACATGACCCCCTCTTGGAAAACAATAAACAAAAGTGCAAAATAAGCACTGCTTGCCAGGTCCCTGACTCAAGACAAACAAATGGGTGGCTAGTGCACCTCTGACTGACCAGGTGGGCTTGGCAAGTAGCTTTCCTCTTCCTTAAAGGGATACATTAAATTAACAGGTAGGGGTTCATCATTTCATTTCTGCTCCTTCTGTCATCCCACATGCCAAATCCTCACACTTAGGGCTAATTTCCAAGGCACTACTTGCTTAAAAAACTGCTGCGAACATAGGGACTATTTCGAAACTTCTAAATCCTACCATTATCAACCCAAAGGTCCTGGCTGATGAAACCTTTAACAGCTCCCATAGGGTGTAATAGGAGTTGATAAACACTAGATACCAAGTAGTTTCCAGACTAGTCACACAATTTTTATTTTCATTTATTGGTTTGCCCTTTATAGCACTGTATCTGCTTCATCTAATTAATCTGGTTATAGAGTCCCCTGTTGCCATCATTTCATTCAGTATTAAATGTCTTAATGGTTTTATGTTGCAATACTAAAAGAGAGTCGACAGCAGCCCATTCCCTCTCGGCTGCTTTGGCAAATGAGAAAGTATTAGCCTGAGCATTCTGGTCTGTCGCAGTTCCGGCACTATATAAGGTAGTCAGAGCACAGAGATTTTTCCCAGCCTACAAAAAAAACCACAGCAACTACCCCACACATGCTCCCAGACACATATATTCACACACACATGCTCATGCACAGGTACAGAATGCCAGAGACACAGATGCACACACAACACTCAGCCATTACATCTGGGAAAAGCCCACGTTCTTCTCATAGGTGAAAAAAAGGTTTGTTACAGATTTTAAGGTGACTCTAAACTGCTCTTCTAAAATATGTCTGAAATTCCTTATTTTATTTTACTGTCACCAAGATATTAGTATTTATTGTTATAATTTGTTTTTGTTTATATGTCACAGGGATGAGGGCGGACCAGCTCAGATAGAAGATGTGAATGCTGAAAAGCCAGAGGGATGGCTGGATGAAGAACCCAAAATCATACCTGATCCAAGTGCACAAAGGCCACTTGACTGGTGAGAAACCTTTTGTCTGGTATTATTATTTACAATTACACAGATAAGTTTAGTAATCTGCAGTCACATGAATAAATGCTTACCTTCCAAATCACCTGCAGTAGTGTTACTCTACATAGTTTATCTCTTAATAAAGAAACACTGCTGGCAGAAAGACCATTTCATCTCATTGAAGTGGTTTGTGTGCAGCGTCACTATCACACTTAATCTTGCAATGTAAATTATTGAAATTTTGAGAAATCAGACAGCCACTAGGGGCACTTATTGAGTCTTAACAGGCTTTTGGTCGCCTAACTGACGTGGGACGTCCTCACGCTCTGCATGAGGACATCCAGAGTCAGTAAAATACCCATAGGAAAGCATTGATGCAGTGCATTCCTATAGGGAGGGCCTAATACGCTCGCAACACATGCGCCGACCGAGCGCCGATGGACATTGGCGCTGGAATCAGGTAAGTGACTGAAGGGTTTTTGCAACCCTTTAGCTGCCTGCGGGGGTAACCAGAGGGCTCTACAATGTTAGGAATACATATTTGTATTTATAACACTATAGAATCCTTTTAATTCTACACGACATGCCAGGACAGTCACAGAAAACTGTCTCTTGAGGGTTCCTTCACATCATTCTAAATGTCTCAAGGAAAAAGGGTGCCCTCACATAATTCTAAATGTCAACATGGGACTGGAATTATCTGTACCAGCAACCACTTTGTAAAAAATCACTGACACAGATTGAACTGTAATTTTGTGGTACGCAGTGCAGAGATGACCGGAAAAAGCTTTACCAACTGCTGTAGAAATACAGCTCCCAGGTGCAGCGCTGCCTTTTAAACTGGCAATTTACCTATTAGCCATCTTTTGTTTAGCACCTGTCCTGTGAAATGTCTGTCTCTCAGTGTTGACGACATATGACCACTGTCCCATTTTGCACATGCTAGATTTCATTATGTGAAAAATGCTGAAATTCTGTGTGAGACTATTCCCTTTAGAACACTGAATAGTTCAACTGTTTCCCTAAACAATACACCTGCAGTTTTAACACCAACATTTAAGCTGTATAAACTTACTTTTTAAAATACCAAAAGTCACTTCTATTTATAACTGGCACATACTGCTCAATATGCAATTAATCTAATATCAATCACTCTTTCAGCTGCATGTTTTTCTTTGTGATTTAATTATTTAAAGTCCTTTTCATGCAGAGTTTTTTTTATCTTCTCTAAATGTGTTATAGGATTAAATCAATGACCTACTATTAGCCAAACCATACAGGGAGGGAAATGGTGAAAACGTTTGGAAGAGTTTGTGAGATTGCAACAAAAATAGTTTAGTAAAACACTTTAATGGGTATCTGTGACATAGATAAAATGCAGCAATAATTTATCTTTGCTAAATCAGACATTCTTTTCAAAGGGAGAACATTTATAAAACACACACCCTACAGGCTAGAATTGTTTATTTTCTTTATTCTCATAATCACTTTGTTGTATTCATTTTAAATGTTAAAAAAAGCAACGTAGGTACATAAACCAAATGATGGAGAGACATATAGACTGATAATCAGTGTTCAACAAAACTGCTAAAGGTCTCAGATAAACATAAGAATTAATAAGGAAAAAAGAACACAAACGATAGATGTTAGCATCAACTCGGCCTATGTACCATGCAGAATCGTAAACATGAAAAAGGTCATTGGAGTGGATGAGCGAGTGGAAGCTGTGCATCTATACGTCAGCATAGATTTCAAAGTAGTCCTTACTAATAAGTATTAAAGGGACACTATAGTCACCATAACAACTACAGCTTACTGGATTTGTTCTGGAGAGTAGAATCATTACCTTCAGGCTTTTTATTGTAAACACTGAGTTTTCAAAGAAAATGCAGTGTTTACATTACAGCCTAGTGATAACTTCACTGGTCACTCCTTAGATGGCTGTTAGAGATCCTTCCTGGGTCATGGCTGCCTAAAATGCATCCAAACCAGTATTTCCTCCCTCTGCATGCAGACACTGAACTTTCCTCATAGAGATTCATTGATTCAATTCATCTCTATGAGGAGATGCTGATTGGCCAGGGCTGTGTTTGAATCATGCTGGCTCTGCCCCTGATCTGTCTCCTTGTCAGTCTCAGCCAATCCTATGGGGAAGCATTGTGATTGGATCAGGCTACCACTTCTGATGATGTCAGCAGACTTCTTGTTTTTTTGAAGCAAACAGCATGCAGAGCTACTGCTTCAGGCTTGAATACAGTAAGATTTTGTTATATTTATGGAGGCATTAAGGGCCCAGGGGGGCTAGATGGTGGTTTTAACACTATAGGGTCAGGAATACATGTTTGTGATCCTTTAAGCTGCTGCCCTCCTCCATTAAAATAAACTCAGGACACTCCAATATAAAGTGGAAGCCTATTGTATGCAGAAACATATCTCATAGTTTTGTACAGTAAACAATCAAATGTGACAAAACAGGTTTGACATAAAGAAAATAAAAAGGTGAGAAAGATCCTGCTCAAGTGTCAAATGTAACATCTTGTTTTTGGCAGGAACGATGACATGGATGGAGAATGGGAGGCACCATTTATTCCCAACCCTAAATGCGAGTCTGCTCCTGGATGTGGAGAGTGGCAACAACCAATGATTGATAACCCGGAATACAGAGGAAAATGGAAGCCTCCATTGATTGAAAATCCCAATTACCAGGTCATTTCACCTGCACAAAAATATGATTAAATTTGCTGCTGTTCATCCAAATCATAGAAATAATTTAAACCCTTCACTCCTGACAATTTGTACAGATAGGCCTGCTTTGTTTTGCATTATATTGTATAGGTAAAGATTTATTTATCTTTCTATCCACTCCTGCTCTGGTTCCCACCTGACAGAGAAGTGTATTGCTCGTCTGCGCTTTGATCAGTACATGTAAATGCCAAGCACTAACACATCCCACATTGTGCTTGAGCCTACACTGTTCAGTTTTCAAAGTGCTGCTGAATAGCAGCTAGGAAAACATGAAGTCAGGAGATAATTCTGGTACACAGCAGGGCATGTTAGAAGGCTACAATACTTTTTGGAATAAAAAGACCTGGTTTTCATCAGGGAACAGTATTTACTGTGTGCTGCTTTTTAAGCATATTCAGTCTGAGAATTTACACTCTGAAGGAATTTGGGGAATATGAATTAAAAAAACATCCAGCAGATTCTGTTCAAATACACATGAACAAAGTATTTTCCCATTTTAGTTGTATTTTAGTTTTCCACTAGATGTCATGAAGAAAATTGTCATTTTGGGCTTATTATTCTATAATTATAAATGATTATGTCAAGTTAAGCGCTATATATGTCTCAAATATGTTATGAATAAATTTCACTCTCAAAGTATTTAAAAACAATTTAAAGAAAAAGGTTTTTCAGGTTTTCGAAATATATAAATATTTTAAAAGTTTGTCCAAAAGTATTAAATCATTTTAAACGCTTATCGAAGAGTCCAACGGTATTAAATTGAGGGTAGGGTATGAAAATGAAAGACAACCAAGTGTCTCGCTTCATGTATTGCCTGACAGCATGTGGAATTGATATAGATATATATATATATATATATCTGGCAACTCTACCTCTACTCCAAAGGGAAAAAACTATACAGCAGGTTCTCAGCTCAGTGTTCTCAGCTAGTATCCGTATTTATGGGCTCCAATATACAATGTGTGTGCGCATTTTAGCTTGCTATTAAAAGTTCGAAACATTTTGTAGTTTAATGCCTTTCCATATAATCAGCAAAGGGAAACAATTTATAAAGATCACAGATCTGTATTTCTCTCATCTCTGTTTTAACTAGAACACATCATTTTTTTTGTATTCTATAGGGCATCTGGAAACCACGAAAAATACCAAACCCACATTATTTTGAAGATCTGAATCCATTTAAAATGTCGCCTTTCAGCGCTATTGGCCTAGAGTTATGGTCGATGACTTCTGACATCTACTTTGACAATTTCATCATCTGTTCCGACAAGGAGGTGGCCGATCGCTGGGCATCAGATAGCTGGGGTCTGAAGAAACTGGTAGCTAGTGCTAATGAGGTAGGATCAAGATAACATAGGGATTTTCATTAGGTGGACATGGCAAAAGTTTGGAGTAATTATAATTTTTTATTTTTTTTATATCTAATCTTAAAACTGGGGTGTTTGTCTTCCTTAATCCTCAACTTAATGCGTACATAGATTCTGGTGGGGCTCCTGAGAATATTCAAACTTCAGAAGATAGACAGTAGATACTCCTATACATTCATTACTCCTCAAATGTTTCTCCTTGTATGAGCCCGCTAAAATTACTATCCTGTCAAAATGTAAAGTGTAATCAGTCAATCACTGCAAATTCACTGCTTGCAGTGCTACTTACTGAGTCAATATATTTAATTTATGCAGTGATCTACTAAGCAAAACAACAACATTTAAAAAGGGCTAGTATTGTAAGGTTACATCATTTACCTGAATAGTCTTGTTCCAGGATACTCAGTAGCAAAATGGATTTGATCAAGCTTAAAAAATTGATTTATGGTTTTCCCAATGCAGGAAGATAGTGTAAAGTTAGCTGTATGTAAGTTAACACATTGCAGATCATGCATCACTTTTGCACCAAGCAGTCTGATGTACACCCATCCTAGTGTAATTTCTGATGCTGAACGCTCCGCACCCGCATCCTTCTATCCCTACCATACTTTAAAACGATGACGTGGAAAATTGTGCTTCGTTCCTTTAGAACTGTACGTGCATGTTTTCTGTGAGCAGGAATGATGCAGAGCTTTTTGCCTTGCTGTGGTAAAACTCTTGTCCCAATAGCACATTTTTTGGTTTGCCAGTATTTAACTTGGCTTTCCTTGACCTTTCTCATTTATGGTATCCTTGACCTGGCTTTGTCTTTTGCTTATCTGATCTCTGGTTCCCTCTGACTTTGGCTTGTATTTGACTTCTCTGTTATCATTTGCTCCTTTGTACATATGGTAAGCCCAGATATTCCAAGAACCGTTGTCATTCGCTCTTTTGTACATATGGTAAACCCAGATATTCCAAGAACCGTTGTCATTCGCTCTTTTGTACATATGGTAAGCCTAGCTATTCCAAGAACCAGTAATACATTACAGTGTTTCCCCTGTCCATCCACAGTGGGTTTATACTTTACATCTTGAGGCATATACGATGACAGATTTGTAATTTGCTCTAGGTGTATAATCACAACTGAGATGGGTTTAAATTCTATAGCTTGGAAAAATACCAGTTCAGTTGTTTTTTTTCTAGCATATAAATTGAAGGCAGGTTAGCTGTGATTATTGAATTGTAGATCATCTCTCCGTGAGATAGATGCTTAATTGAACCAGTTTTATTTCTTGTTTAACCAGCCAGGTATGTTGAACCAGCTCCTGACTGCTGCAGAAGAGAGACCGTGGCTCTGGGTTCTCTATGTTTTGACGGCTGCTCTGCCTGTGGGCTTATTAGTACTATTCTGCTGGCCCAGAAAGGTAAGGAGAGTTTATTTGTTACTGTTTTTTCATGCTTTAAAGTTATAGACAGCGTGTCTCTGCTGACCATAACATATATTTAAAGGGACTCTTTAGTCACCAAAACAACTTAAGCTTAATAAAGCAGTTTTAGTGTATAGATTAGGCATAGGCAACCTTCGGCACTCCAGATGTTTTGGACTACAACTCCCTTGATGCTTTGCCAGCATTATGGGTGTAAGAGCATTATGGGGATTTAGTCCACAACATCTGGAGTGCCAAAGGTTGCCCATCCCTGGTATAGATCATGCCTATGCAGTCTCACTACTTAAAGGACCACTATAGTGCCAGGAAAACATACTCGTTTTCCTGGCACTATAGTACCCTGAGGGTGCCCCCACCCTCAGGGTCCCCCTCCCGCCCGGCTCTGGAAGGGGGAAAGGGGTAAAAACTTACCTTTTTCCAGCGCTGGGCGGGGAGCTCTCTGCCTCCGATCCTCCTCCTCTCCTCCCCGCCGGCTGAATGCGCACGCGCGGCAAGAGCTGCGCGCGCATTCAGCCGGTCGCATAGGAAAGCATTATCAATGCTTTCCTATGGACGCTTGCGTGCTGTCACTGTGATTTTCACAGTGAGAATCACGCAAGCGCCTATAGCGGCTGTCAATGAGACAGCCACTAGAGGATTTGGGGGAAGGCTTAACCCATTGATAAACATAGCAGTTTCTCTGAAACTGCTATGTTTATAAAAGAATGGGTTAAGCCTAGCTGGACCTGGCACCCAGACCACTTCATTAAGCTGAAGTGGTCTGGGTGCCTGGAGTGGTCCTTTAATTCACTGCTATTTAGGAGTTAAATCAGATTTGTTTCTGCCTGCATGAAAACAAAATGGTTTCATTTTCAATCAGATGTAACTTACTTTAAAAATGTTTAGTTCCTGTTCTGTAAATTGAACTTTAATCACATACAGGAGGTTCCTGCAGGGTCTGGCAAGCTATTAACAGAACACGAGATAGGAAATTCTAAATTAAACAGTATTTACAATAAGACGTGTAATCATTAGATGACTCTTTACAGGAAGTGTTTAGGAAGGCTGTGCAAGTCACATGCAATGAGGTGTGACTAGGGCTGCATAAACAAAGGGATTTAACTCCTAAATGACAGATAATTTAGCAGTGAGACTGTAGGGGCATGATCTATACACCAAAACTGCTTCATTAAGCTAAAGTTGTTCTGCTGACTATACTGTCCGTTTAACAAAGAGAATGGATGATACTTTTTTCTTCTATTATTATGCAAGAACTTTGTAACTACTAATTTGATTTACTATCAGGAAACATCAGCATCTGATGTGGATGTTCTATTAACCAAAGTTAATAGTCAAAATACATACATATATATATAAATATGAACTCAAGTGGGATGTACTCACCTAAACATGCATGTTTATAAGGGTGCTACTGAGGCCAATCCATACAACACACACGATCCAGTGCACTCACTTATTCTCTGAAAAGGCAGTGCTTGCATTAAAATGCCTGAAGGCAATGAATATACTAACCAAAACAACCACATTAAGCTGTAGTTGTTGTGGTGACTATAGTGTCCCTTTAAAATGTGCATGTATCATACCTTTTTAAGTTACTGAAGGATTTACCATAACTCATATTTGTACAGAAAATCGAAGAGGAGGACATGGAAGACATAGATTTCAAAATGGACGATTTCTTGGATCCCAGTGAAAAAGAATTTGAGCTAAAGAAAGATACAAGGGAGAATGCTGAGACTTATGAAGAGGAAACTGGAAAAGTAATGACAGAGGAAGGTGAGATAAATATTTGCAATTATAGAGCTATTTCTTCCATTAGATATAGGTAATTTGCATAAGAAAGTGTCTTAACGATGGACTAAAAATGCAAAACCGTTCTTAATTGAGCACATGCCTGATTTTCACTAGTAATAAGGAATAGAATAAATGTAAGCAAGTCCTATGAATGTCCCCTTTAATTCTTACGCATTTCAAGATAAGAGTTCCTACACCTAGAATGTTTTAACTGGAGACCACTACATAAAACTAAAATACACACACAATAATAATTCCATGGATTACTGAATACCATTACATGTAGCACAAGATTTTGCATATTCATTAACACCTCAAAAAGGCCTATTATTTAAGATGTGGTTAGGAAAATGGTAGTTTTTCCCAGAAAAACTTATATTGAGTGGTTTAGTTACATTTCGCTCCTCATTCATCATGCTAATTTATTAATATGTTTAGAAAACATTACTTTATATTTTCAGAACCGGTAAAATAACTCCCAGAAATTTGATTACAGTTATTTATTGTATTTATTTGTATTTAATCAGGATTTGAAGAAGATGAAGAGAGCGAAGAAGAAGGCGAAGTCAGTCAAGAGGACGAACAGGATAGTGCTATAGAAAACCAGTCTTCGGATGACGAAGTAAGTTTGACTTACATACTGGAAGTACTGCGGTGGCAGGGGTCGCAGCTGTTAGTGCCATCCGATGGAAATTCATTTCCAGGAGGCCCAGTCAGCTCTGCGGCGCTTTAACATAGTGAACGGGCCCCCTGTGATAACATCAGAGCTGGGAGGAAGTGACTGCTCCGGTCACTTCCTCCCAGCAACCACTGGGAGCCACGCGGGAGGAAGGAGAGGAGGGAGTCAGAGTGGGAACTCTGACTCCCATCAGGCTGAGCCACTGGACCCAAGGGAAAGTCACCCTCCTGCACTTAAAAGGTAGGAAACAGGAGGGTAACTAAAACATTTTGTATATGTGTGTGTTTTTGTATTTGTATGTGTCTGTATGAATGTTTCTCTGTATGTGTGTATGTACACTGAGCAAAATTATAAACGCAACACTTGTTTTTGCTCCCATTTTTCATGAGCTGAATTTAAAGATCTAAAACTTTTTCCATGTACACAAAAGGCCTATTTCTCTCAAATATTGTTCACAAATCTGTCTAAATCTGTGTTAGTGAGCACTTCTTCTTTGCCGAGATAATCCATCCACCTTACAGGTGTGGCATATCAAGATGCTGATTAGACAGCATGATTATTGCACAGATGTGCCTTAGGCTGGCCACAATAAAAGGCAACTCTAAAATGTGCAGTTTTATCACACAGCACAATACCACAGATGTCGCAAGTTTTAAGGGAGCGTGCAATTGGCATGCTGACTGCAGGAATGTCCACCAGAGCTGTTGCACGTGAATTGAATGTTCATTTCTCTACCATAAGTCTTCTCCAAAGGCGTTTCAGAGAATTTGGCAGTACATCCAACCGGCCTCAAAACCGCAGACCACGTGTAACCACACCAGCCCAGGACCTCCACATCCAGCATCTTCACCTCCAAGATTGTCTGAGACCAGCCACCCGTACAGCTGCTGCAGCAATCGGTTTGCATAACCAAAGAATTTCTGCACAGTCAGAAACCGTCTCAGGGAAGCTCATCTGCATGCTCGTCGTCCTCATCGGGGTCTCAATCTGACTGCAGTTCGTTGTCGTAACAGACTTGAGTAGGCAAATGCTCACATTCGATGGCATCTGGCACTTTGGAGAGGTGTTCTCTTCACGGTTGAATTCCGGTTTTCACTGTACAGGGCAGGTGGCAGACAGCGTGTAGGTGAGCGGTTTGCTGATGTCAACGTTATGGTTTGAGTGGCCCATGGTGGAGGTGGGTTATGGTATGGGCAAGCACAAGTTATGGACAACGAACACAGATGCATTTTGAATGCACAGAGATACCGTGATGAGATCCTGAGGCCCATTGTTGTGCCATTCATCCACGACCATCACCTCATGTTGCAGCATGATAATGCAAAGCCCCATGTTGCAAGGTTCTGTACACAATTCCTGGAAGCTGAAAACATCCCAGTTCTTGCATGGCCAGCATACTCACCGGACATGTCACCCATTGAACATGTTTGGGATGCTCTGGATTAGACATAGAAACATAGAATGTGTTAGCAGATAAGAACGATTCGGCCCATCTAGTCTGCCCAATTTTCTAAATACTTTAATTATTCCCTAGCCTTTTCTTATAGTTAGGATAGCCTTATGCCTATCCCACGCATGCTTAAACTCCTTTACTTTATTGGCGTATACGACAGCGTGTTCCAGGTCCTGCCAATATCCAGCAACTTCACACAGCCATTGAAGAGGAGTGGACCAACATTCCACAGGCCACAATCAACGACCTGATCAACTCTTTGCGAAGGAGATGTGTTGCACTGCGTCAGGCAAATAGTGGTCACACCAGATACTGACTGGTTTTCGGACCCTCCTGGACCTCTTCAATACAGTAAAACTGCACATTTTAGAGTGGCCTTTTACCTGTGCAATAATCATGCTGTCTAATCAGCATCTTGGTATGCCACACTTGTAAGGTGGATGGGAAGTACTCACTAACACAGATTTAGACAGATTTGTGAACAATATTTGAGAAATAGGCTTTGTGTACATAGAAAAAGTCTTAGATTTTTGAGTTCAGCTCATGAAAAATGGGGGCAAAAACAAGTGTTGCGTTTATAATTTTGTTGTGTGTGTGTGTGTGTATGTCTGGCTGTGTGTGTGTGTGTATGTCTGGCTGGATGTGTGTGTGTGTATGTCTGGCTGGCTGTATGTGTGTGTGTTTTGTGTGTATGTCTGGCTGTGTGTGTGTGTGTCTGGCTGTGTGTGTGTGTGTTTCTGTGTCTGGCTGTGTGTGTGTGTGTGTGTCTGTGTCTGGCTGTGTGTGTGTGTGTGTGTCTGTGTCTGGCTGTGTGTGTGTGTGTATATATGTCTGGCTGTGTGTGTGTTTGTATGTATGTATATGTGTCTGTATGCATGTGTTTGTCTGTATATGTGTCTGTATGTTTGTATGTGTGTCTGTATATGTGTCTGTGTGTGCATGTGTATCTATTTGCCTACATGCATGGTGGAGCAATGTATCGGGAGGGCACAAGGCAATTTTCGCACCGGGGCCCTGTGGTTTCTAGTTACGCCATTGCTTACATATACATGGGTGGTAAAATTAGATTACAACCTAAAGTAGGTGGGGTGAAATTACACCAAAGGTGGCAATAAAGTGCATGATGTTTAAAATAAAAATGGATTGCTAGGTGTATTAAGAGTAGAAAAGGTTAGTAAATAGTTAGAAATTCAAAGTGAATTTAAAATAGAATAGCCAAACTCCAAATATTTTTCCAATTGGTTGTTGTGTCATATATTTAAAGTTTTCATTGAATAAAAAAAAAAAATTACACTTTAGTAAAAAACATTGTTAGTCTGTACATATTTTATATGATTTCTATTAGCGTAGAAGGAGAAGTTAATTGATTAGTTACTATGCCTACCTAAAATGTTAGCTATGATGGTGTAAACAGAGGCAGGTTGCAAGTCTTCAGCAGAGGTGAGGGGCCAAGAGATATACTTGTGTTTTAATGAGTTTATGTAGATTGGTGCACTCTTAGATCTTCAGTAAGGGCTAATATTGTAAATCAAACCATAAAACATGTAGGGATCTAAGGTAAGGACTAATAGAGGGGTGAAGTGGGGGAAGAGTGGAGGTCAGAAAGACAAGTCTGACATCAGCATTATTTATTAGGTTGTAATGAATCAGTTTGGACTTGAGTGAGATCAGTTAAGGAATATGTTGCAGGAATCATAGGCAAGTATTTAGGTAGCACTCTTTGTTAGGTAGGTGTGTTTTGAAGATGTATATGGCCAGGATTTGGAGACAGAAATGATGGCTTGACAAATTCTCAGTTTAAAGATGAAACATCGCAAGTGTGAGGGATGAAGAGAGACAAAAAAATTATAGAGAGGAATTTGCATGTATTGGAGCTGGAAAGAATGTTTATGGCAATATTAAAGGACTCCAGACTGATTTTTTTTTTTTTTTCATAAAACAAGTCACTGTTTTTTTTTATATTTTCCCAATGAACACATGCATGCATTTTTCATGCTTTCAAAAGAGCTTGCAAAACCTGCAGTTCCTATGAATTGGAGCCTTTGCAAGCCCTCCCCCTTTGCCCTGGAAGAGACTATCAGTGTGCTCGCAGGTGTGTGCGCATCTGATGTGAGATCTTTGGAGGTGCTAGAGTTCTTGAAGAAGCTGGTCTGATGTCTGTGGTGTAGAAGGCTGTCTCGCTCAAGTAGTTAAGTTCCGTTAGTAGCGGAGCTAACAGAAGGAGGAAGCAAACCTCCCTGACTGTCTGATTGACAGCCAGACAGTCAGGTTGGTTCTCCATAATTTAATTATAAAAGTGCTGCACTTTTAGAAACTGGGTTAAAAAAGGAAGCACGTCAGTGTGGAGTTGTCCTTTCAAGATAAGAGAAAGGGAATGTGGGAGTTATATTATTCATGCATGCTGCACTATGCAGACTCATATTTTCAGGGTGTGTCCAAACACTATTGCCATTGACTTGTGTTTAATTACAGTCATATATATATATTTTTTTAAATTACAACACTGACCATCCACATAGGACTCATTACGTTCTCGCACAGCATTTCTATGTATAGTATAGTATTCAGTCAGCAATGATGAAACATTGGTCATTTGTGACGAATAATTCTCCATTGGTTATACGTATTTCAAAAATGTTTCTTTTTTAATAAGGTAGTAGTTTCACAAATGTATCAAAGAAAATTAAACTAAACCCTACAAAATAAGCATTTTCAATATGTAACATACATTTTTATACATAGTGGTTTATTCTTGTTTTATACAACTACAAATCTTTCCTCCACCTCCCTCCCCCATTTCATAGATGAAAGAAGCTGATGAAGGTGCAAGTTCTGGAGATGGTCTGAAGAAATCTTTGCGTAAAAGAAGAGTACGAAAAGATTAGTCCCACATTTCACACTCCCTTCTAGGATTTTTATAGTTAACCACTCACCAGCAAAGCTCTCAAGACCTCATGGGGATTGTAACAATTTGAACAGAAAACACTGCTACTTTTTTTTGTCCAATATTGATTATCATGAATATCTTCCAAACCTGCCCCACCATATTTGCTGCTGGAAGTTTTTGTATTGGACTCTGGATCGGAGTCCTCATGTGACTTTTTACCTAAACTTTTGTAGTCATGGTTATATTTTGTCCCGTTTCATGTTACTTATCCCTTTATTACAAAAGTAAAGTGTGTCCTGACAAATGCAGAAATAGTGGAAATTATGGTAAAATACAAATGTAACGTTATTAGTAAGAACAAAAAACAGAAGCACCATTCAAAAAAGAAGGGAAAAAAAAGAGGGGTAGGGTAGCCACAGACAAGCCAAACATGTTTAAAATATTGACGATCCTTACTCTTATGTAACTAACCATAAAGTTGGGGTGTACCACATTTTCACCCATTTCTTGAAGGAGTAGCTGCTTTTTATTTTTTGTTCCTAATAGAGTTGCGTTTGTACGGTCAGAATGTCCATTGTGTGTGCTGCTCAGGGCTTCGACATATCTGTCTCTGTTACAAGGGAGCCTTGGAACAACCAAAACCTGCCGAGAGATATTTACAGCGGTACTGTAATAATTTTTTGACTGTCAGTTTGTAAACATGTTTGTACCCGTACCAGATTCTGAGGTAAAATTTGCAACCAGAAAATATTAAAGAAAATACCAACACCTGTTTATTAAAGTCAAATTTTTTAATAACTGAATATCTTCATGCCAACCTGCTGGGAGTAACATCTAGGCAGAATACTCTGTAAAACTATAAGGCCAACACACTATGATCTTTCTAATATCAGCAAAAGACCACAGAATACAATTAACTCTTTCATTAACAGGGCATTTTAATTCCGTATTGATTTTGTTCTATTGTTATGATAACAGTTTATTAATATGTCTATTTATTTGGGAGGACATCTAACCTTGCTTCTATTTCAAATGTTTGACAGAGAAATGTATTTGGCCATTTTTAAAGGCATGCCTTATATCATCACACCTGCTGAGCATGCGGATATATTTATTCTGGTGACCTTACTTAGCTTACGTACCAAGGTTTAATAATGTGCTTTGCTAGAGCTGTCTTGGTGACTGGTACATGTGTTGTATCTCTAAGTCAACTGGCAGCAGACTTTTACATTTTTATGCTATTACATTATATATACATATATATGAAAAATGGTGTACAGTTTTTTCCAGATTTTTATAGTTTAAAGTCAAACCCAAGTTGTGAATTACAAAATGTACATTGTTATTGAAAATAAATATTTAATATTTGTTTGCGTCATGCCTGTTACTTTGTAGGGCTTTGATAAACGAAAAGTATACTATATGAAATTCAGAATAATAGGGATGTGGGGTCATAGTGGAGGCTTGCCATAGTTACACGATGCAAGTCAATGGTCAAAGCTAATGGCGGAAAAGTGGCGTGCCAACCAGGAACATTGACTGTGAGGCCTGCACGCCAGCCAACCAAGGATAAGCATGTGTAGAGTACTGTTGAAGGTGATAGAAAATCCCTATATTGACATTGTGCAGTGCAAGAGTGTTTGATACTGTGCTTTCTCAAATCTTTTTTTTATTTTTTTTCTGTTGTCCGCAAGAAAAAAAAAGTAAAAAAAATACTAGAACAAGTTATAGTTACAGCCATACAGATAGATGGGATTGCTCAATGGTTTTGTACCTATCATGCAATGTTACTGATAAATGTATTAAATACAGAAATATTTCAAGTCGGATTGTACCAGTCTGCAGCCAATTCAAATAGATTTTCTTTTTAAATGTACAAAACTATTGCCGAGAACCGATCAGCTGCTGCACTTTACCATGAGTGATGCGAGCTAGGTTTTGCAAAGGCACTGTCTTCATCAGAGGGGACCATATTCTTTGAAAGTTTGGTATGGTACAGTTGCATCTATGTGATATTTCTTTCCACTTCCTACTATAGAACTTACCTTTTCTATGGAAGGTAAATGTGTGTGTGTATCCAGGGCTTTTTTATTTATTTTTTGCTACAAATAGATGGCATAGTATGTGAGCAAGAGATTTGGGCATGAAAGTTAGTTATATGTTAGGCAGTGCCATGTGTGAGTTAGGTATTGTAACTGGCTATGCTCTAAGAATTCCTTCCACAGAGATCAACTAATGCACAGTTCCACAATATATGGGTGTACTTGCCCCTGCTCCCACACTTCCTCGAGCATGCTCCCATCTAGTGTTAATTTTGTCTACTAGGAATTTTAGTCTATTAGAAGTTTTTGAGAATTAGTCAACTAAAACTAGAACAATTCAGATGACTAAAATACGACTAAAACTAAAATTGCATTTTAGTCAAAAGACTATGACTAATACTAAATTGAAATTTGCTGCCAAAATTAACACTGCACAGAAGGGCTGTGGAGGGACAAAAGAGACAGAGCAGGGCTTGGGAGAGAGAGACATCTAGAAGAGCTGGGAGGAAACAAAGAGATACAGAGGGGCTGGGGAAGGGGCAAAAGAGACAGATAGAGGCTTTAACTAAACCCATTAGATTTTAGTCATGTCGACTAAAATCTCCAGTAGATTTTGTTGACTAAAAATTTAGTAGACTAAAACAATTCAGATGACTAAAAATACGACTAACTCTAAAATGTTATTTTAGACAAAAGATTATGACTAAAACTAAATTGAAATTTGCCACCAAAATTAAGACTGCTCCCATCTTCTCCCTGTGTGTTGTTGTTGTTGTTATTATTATTATACTATTTACATAGCGCCATCAAATTCCGCAGCGCTTTACAATGGGTGGACGAACAGACATGTAGTTGTAACCAGACAAGTTGGACACACAGGAACAGAGGGGTTGAGGGACCTGTGTGTCCAACTTGCTTAAATGCTAGAGGGAATGGGGTAAAATGACACAAAAAGGTAAGAATAGTATTAGACTAGTGGCAGTTGCAGAAGAGGAATCAGTCAGGAGCTATTAACAGTTTAATTGATACGCTTTTATGAAGAAGTGGGTTTTTAACGATTTTTTGAAGGAGTGGAGACTAGGTGAGCATCTAACGGAGGAGGGAAGCGAGTTCCACAGGAACGGTGCAGCCCTTAAGAAATCTTAAAGGCGAGCCTCAGATGTGAGAGTACGGACAGAAGATAGACGTAAGTCTTCAGCAGATCGTAAGGACCTAGATGGGACATACTTTTGTAAAAGGGAGGATAGATAGGTGGGAGCAGCATTATGTAGCGATTTGAAAGCAAGAACCAGAATTTTAAATTGAGCTCTATATTTTATGTGAAGCCAATGTAGGGACTGACAGAAGGGTGAGGTGCGGGCAGACAGGAAGATGAGCCTCGCTGCCGCATTCATTATGGACTGTAACGGCTCAAGTTGGGAACACGTAAGACCACTGAGAAGCGGATTACAGTAGTCAAGGTGAGAAAGGACCGTGGAATGGATCAACACCTTAGTCGCATCTGGCGTTAAGTAGGGGCAGATGCACGCAATGTTTTTGAGATGGAAATGACAGGATTTGGCGATAGATTGAACATGAGGCTTGAAGGAGAGGTTGCAGTCAAAGAGAAAGCCTAGGCAGCGAGCCTGCGTGGTGGAGCTGATGGTAGCACCGTTGACATGGAGGGAGACAGACACAGGAGTAACAATACTTGAGGGAGGAAAGACCAGAATTTCAGTTTTGGTCAAGTTTAGTTTAAGGAAGTGGGCAGCCATACAGTTAGAAATAGCAGAGAGGCAGTCAGAGACACTAGTCAAGAGGGACAAGGAGAGATTAGGAGAGGACAGGTAGATTTGCGTGTCATCTGCATAGAAATGATATTGGAAGCCAAAAGGAGCTAATGAGTTTACCAAGGAAGGCAGTATAGATGGAGAAACAGTAGGGGACCAAGGACTGAACCTTGGGGGACACCAACAGAGAGGAGTTGGGGAGAAGAAGCAGAGCCAGAGAAAGAAACACTGAAAGAGCGCTGGGAGAGGTAGGAGGAGCACCAGGAGAGAGCAGTATCTTGTAGACTTATATTGGGTGTGTTGTATTCTCGCTGGGCCACATACCATCTCAAAGCTATTTTGCCCACTTAACAGGGAAAAACAGGTGTCTTGGTACATTGAAGGTGTCTAATAATGGAACAAGAGGTTGAAATACAGGCTACCGTGACAAGATTCAGGTCAATTGGGAGCCATGAGTGCTTTACATTATTTTTTTATGTTATTATTCAAGACCAACAACAACTGAACACCTTGGCACTATTCATAAAACAGAACTATAGGCTGTGGGTGGCCAGACACCCTTGTTCAGCATTAAACCATTCAAAAAAACAGTAGTTTAACACAGAGGAAAGGGGTGCCAGGTGACTCCAGGCACTTTGACTACTTCAATAAGATGAAGAGGTTAGAGTGTCCCTTCTGTTCAGGGCCGGTCTTAGGCCTTTCAGTGCTCTGTGCGAAAAATCTTTACAGTGAAGGTCCTAAAGAATGATTTCAGGGAATTAGGTAGCAAACTTAAGAAAAAGACCTCCAAGGTGGTATTCTCTGAGATATTACCTGTGTCACGCGCTACAGTGGAAAGGCAGCGGGAGATTAGAGAGGTCAATGCATGGCTTAAGTCTTGGTGCAGGAAGGAGGGTTTGGGGTTTTTAGAGCACTGGGCCGACTTTGCGATTGGGTACAACCTTTATAGTAGTGATGGATTACACCTAAACGGGAGAGGGTCTGCAGTGCTGGGGGATAGGATCGCTAGAAGGCTGGAGGAGATTTTAAACTAGTAGTAGGGGGGGAGGGTCATAGCAATCTACAAAATGGAGATAGGACAGAAAGGAGATGGGCTTTAGCACAGTTTAAAGGGGGTAGAGACAGGGGGAAGGGCAAGCTCAGAACAGAGAAGCTATGTAATGTTGATAATTCACAAAAAGTACAAGTGACTCATGATATTAAATGTATGCTTACTAATGCAAGGAGCCTAAATAACAAAATGGGGGAACTAGAGGCAGTAGCATACACTAAACAATATGATATAATAGGCATAACTGAATCATGGTGGGATGAGACACATGACTGGGCAGTTAACTTAAATGGGTACATGTTATTTAGGAAGGATAGGAAAAACAAGAAGGGTGGTGAGGTATGTTTGTATTTCAACCATGATTTAAAGCCAAATCTTAAGCAAGTGGAATGTGATGAGGAAAATGTGGAAGCTTTATGGGTAAATATCTGCTTGGGGGAAAAGAAGGGAAACCAACTGTTGGTTGGGATATGTTATAAACCACCTAATGCTAATATTGACGAGGAACAACAGCTGTTTGAGCAAATTGAGAAAGCTGCAAATCTGGGTAACACTTTAATTATTGGAGATTTTAATCACCCGGGCATAAATTGGGACAAAGGGACTAGTAGCTCAGCAAAGGGAATTAGGTTTTTAAACTTGTTAAATGACACCTTCATGTCACAACTTGTACAAGCAGCAACTAGAATGGACGCTTGTCTGAACCTGGTTTTAACAAACAACAATGATCTTTTAACCAACATTCAAGTAGGTGAGCACTTAGGAAATAGTGATCACAATATAGTGTCCTTTGAAATAAACTCAAAAAAACAAAAGCACATGGGGTATACTAAAACATATAATTTTATTTTTTTCGGCGTCTAGGGAGACTAACAGTCCCCCCTTTTGCCGACTCTTCAGATGATAGAGGATATTGATGACCTTCCTCGTATTATCTGAACCTTGTCTTCCTTTGATGAAGCCCACCTCGTCATTATGGATGATAAGCGGTAGTATGTTCCCCAGGCGGTTGGCGAACAGTTTCGCATCTGTGTTTAGGAGGGAGATGGGTCGGAAGTTCTGTGGAACTGTTGGGGGTTTGTTCGGTTTGGGGAGTGTGACAATGTGTGCGGCCAACGTTTCTCTGGGGAGTTTCCCTTTTAAAACTGCTTCTGTGAACAGTCTAGCCAGGTAAGGCCAGGTATATCGCCAAATTTTTTGTAATATTGGCTGTCAAATCCGTCGGGCCCCGGGGATTTCCCTGTTGGAAGGTTTTTAATCAGGTCTCTGATCTCCTGTTCCTCTATCAGTTTAGTGAGAGCCTCTTTGTGTTGTGTTGAGATTGTAGGTAGTGTTACCTCTTCTAGGTAGTTCTTAATGCTGAGGTTAGTAGGGTGTGTTGTTTGCGTATCGTCTCGTATGTTATATAGGAAAGAATAATATGTGGCGAACACTTTGCTGATTCCCTTAGGTGTGAAGACTTTGGACCCTGTCTGGTCTGTGAGGTAGGATATTTTTTGGTTTGCTTACCTGGTTTTCAGTCGGTTTGCTAGTAGCTTACTTGCCCTATTGCCTTGCACATAGTGGGTTAGTTTGAGCCTTTGCATGTTGAAGTTAAGTGCTTCCAGTGCCTGTTGGTGTATAAGTTTAGTGACCTGGGCTATTCTCGTTTTTGTCTCTAGTGTCTGTGTGGTTTGGTTCAGTCTATTCAACTTGTACAGTTCTGTCTGCCAGGCCCTAAGCTGTGTTTGTCGTTTCTTTTTTACGTATGATGCTCTGCGTATTAGTAGGCCTCTCGCTACCGTTTTATGTGCAAGCCACAGAGTAGCATCTGTGGTGTCTTTAGTGTCGTTTAGCTGGAAATATGTGCGGAGGTCCCCTGCCAGTGACTCTACGAATCCCTCATCCCTCAGCAATGAGTTATTTATTTTCCAGGGGCTGCGATGTTTAAAGTCGTAATTGTTCTTTAGTTCTATGGTTACGGGTGCATGGTCAGACCATGTAATTTGCCGTATGTCACTAGTCACGATTTGGTCTAGTGTCGTACCTGATATAAGGAAACCGTCTATTTTGGAGTAAGAGTTGTGCACCGCTGAGTAGTGTGTGTACGCTCTTTCTGTTGTGTGTGTGACTCTCCAAGCATCGTATAGATGATACTCATGCAGGAGTTTCGCTATGGCTCTGTATTGCCTAGTGAGAGGGCGATGGTTTTTCCTTTGTGGTGTTAAGGTCGTGTCTAGCTGCGGGTCTAGTATATGGTTGAAGTCACCCCCTATCACCGTAATGCCTGTTTGGGCAGTGTTTGTTTTGGTTAGTATTTTGTGTAGGAAGCTTCTCTGGTTGGTATTTGGGGAGTATATATTTACGATGGTGTATAGCATGTCGTTAAGTTTCCCTATGAGGATGATGTACCTGCCGTTGAGGTAAATATCTGTGGAACGGAGCGTAAACGAGACAGCTTAAGTGATTAGGATGGACACTCCCCTAACTTTTGCAGGAGATGTGGCATGGAATTGGTGTGGATAGTTATTGGTCAGTATTGTAGGGTAGTCATTATGCCTAAAGTGTGTTTCTTGGAGGCATAGGACATCCGCTCCGAGGGTTCTAGCCTCTCTGGCCAGCAGGTGTCTTTTCACCGGGGTGTTAAGACCTCTGACATTAAAAGAGCACACTATCACGGTGGTTCGTGGGGTTGGTACTCTTTACCTCGTGTGAAATATTCTATGGTTTGAGGGGTCACCGCTCTTCCCAGCTCAGTCGCGCCGAGCAGTGTTCCCCTCTGTGTGTTGGTTGGGTCCCTTTCTGTGTCTGCGGAATTGTCATTGCGGCCAGCCTCGCGGTCTCCAGGTCTTTGTGTTCAGCGAAGTCTCCCCCATGGTGTCTTGGAAAGTTATAGGGTTAAATATAGTGCTAGCAAATTAAATTCCCTTTACTTTCGGCATGGGTTGTCAGGCAGGTCCCGCCAATTGTAATTAATTAAGATACCTAATTATGTAAAAATATTACATAAATATATATGTAGAATTAATATAGGTATATATATATATACACGTATGTGAATCTATATGTGTATATCTATATAATTTTTTTAAACTATTTTTATTTATATATAGGTATATATATAGTGATATATACGTATATATTTATGTATGTAGATATATATATTATTTCGTTCTACGTGTATTTTGATATAAATATATATTAATATCACAATACAGTTAGAACGAAATAACACATCTATATATTTTTTAATTAATTTTTTTAAATTATTTTTTTAATTTTATTTTTTAACGTATTTACATATTAATTTTTTTTATATTATATATATATATATAACAATAATTATATATATATATTTAATCAGTATCAGTCTACGTGTAATTTGATATTAATATATATAGTTATATATATATATTAATAGTAAAATACACCTAGACAGTGTATGTGTGTGTATGTATATGATCTAAGTATATATATATATATATTTTTTTTTTTTACACTAATAAATTTTATTTTAATTTTATTTTCAGCCAGCAGGGGGACCACCTGTCATTACAGGCAGCCCCCCTGCTGGCAATGCAGGAGGCAGCCTACCCGGCCATGTGATTGTGGGGTCCTCGCAAGGACCCCACTCTCACATGGCCAGGGGGCACCGGAGAAGAAGGATCTACCGCGGGGGGCTCCCTGGGAGTCCCCCCCCACCGCGATCGCCAGCGACCGGGTAAGTAAACAAAAACCGGAGGGTGTACAATTATGCCCGGCGGCGTTTAGAGCCGCCTAAAATAGGGTGTAATTGTACGTCCTCCGGTCTGAAGGGGTTAAAGTGATCCTTGGATCTAAAATGGTCACTACTTATACTTCCTTTGAAACTCCACCCCAGCATTACCAGTGACCAAACCCTGACCCCCTGACCTTTAGATGGCCTGTCTCCTGGCAATGTCAAGGCCCACTCCCCTTAGCTACGCTGCTCCATGGGCTACATGACATGAGCACAGTCGCCTTGTCGGCTTCTGCTTAAGAACCCCCACCAAATACCCCAATCCCCAATAAAGCACAGACACCATGGTTTTGGCAAAATTATATCACAGCTTTATTTGTAATTAACATAAATTTAAAGGTCATTGTCAACAGCAGGCCAACGTTGGCCTGCACAATTAACATCCTGCATTTACAATTAACCCCTTGACAATGACCCACCCCCACATAACATAACACCCAAACATTGAACATTTTATTTAACATGAACATGACCATTGCCACCAAAGGGCACCATCCATTGCCACCAAAGGGCACCACAAGTGTAGGGGCATACCGAGACACCCCATACACACCCCGGTTCGGAGCTACCTACGAGCTCGAACCTACCAAACCAGTCCAAAGGCCTACCTATTAGCCCTGAACTCCAAACTTTTTCCCCATCTCACTCTTTTCTCCCCCCAACTTTACTCTCCATCCCCCGCCACAGCTCAGAGCTCGACTCCTCGAGCTCCTGAGCGACACCCCCCCAGGGAAAAAAGCGCTCTCTGGAGGCCCTCCTGGAAACCCAGCAACAAAAAATCCAAACCCACATCGGACAGATTGACCCCATCACTCCTATAATAACCTGGGAGCATGTCTTCCAACTCCCTGTGCCTGATCACAACCCCCCCTGACCGCCTCACGTACGCTGCCATCACCTTGTTAACCTTACCCTTCATTTTCGCCACCGCGGAGGGATTCCGCGCGTGACGCCAGTACAACCTCGGAACCATTTCCGACCATACTACCATAACCCCTGGCACTAACTCCCTTAATCTGTCCACGTCCCTCTTCATACACTCGAGCAGGACCTTTTGAGGTAACAACCCCACATCATTGCCCCCTGCATGAAGCACCACTATGTCCGGAACCTGTCCCAAAAGAATTTTGTGAAACATTTCCTCACATATAACATTCCAACCCCAGCCCCGGTAACCAAACCACCGAAGCTGCACCACAGAATTTGGAAAGCCCAGCTGTAGACCGTGACGTTGAACTGAAGCTCTCCGTTGCGCCCAGTGTACGTATGAGTGGCCGACCACTCATGCCATCCGACCTGTAAAACATAAAGCAAACATAGACAACCACAAAACAACCACCAACATTCCCCCTTTTCCATCCTCCAACTTAAACCAACTTGTCTGACCTAATGTAAGACCTGAACCTCAGGGACTCCCACCTGCCAATCTTTTTCACCCGTTCATCACCTAAACCTAGTCTCGCCGCTTCAGTAGCCACACCAATCCTGAAAGAATGTGTCCCGAATTGGCCCGGGTCCACACCCAACCTTGCCAACGCCTTCCGAAAAACCCAGAGGAACTGGAACTTCGATAGCGAAGAGCCGTCCTCATGCTTGAAATATGAACCCCCGGCCATTGCCCGCACCTCCCGGAAGGCCGTTGCGCACTTAACCGGGCAAGTTCTCCCACCCGGGAGCTCCCACAACGTAACCAACGTTCCTTTCCCCATTACATCCGTTTTGGACCGCCTCAGGTTAATCACTACCTTGTTGCTCCACACTTCCACGTCCATCGCCTGAAGTCCCCCGGACCCTTGGCGATTGCTGCTAACTTGCTCGCTGACCCGAAATGCCCCAAAAAAGGCAAAACTAAAAACCACGGAAAACAACGTCACTTCGTATCCTGAAAAATACACCGCGTGCAGCACTCGGACCACCCGCTGCAGCAATTCGAACAACACTGGCCTCCTAGTATCCACTGACACTTTACCCCTCCTGAAACCTTTCAGTGCCTGTCTAACCAGAAAATATTTGGTAGCATCCTCCTACCCGTTAAATTTGAACAAGAACGCTAGCGCTGCCAGCTTACGCCCCATCACCGCTGCCGAAACCCCTGTGGTAACTGACCTACACAAGTGCCACAGCAGCACATCCAACCGCGCCTCCTCTGAGAGCTGACCCCCTGTCTGCTGCACCAGTTCGTCCCATTCCCCCCACACCTTACTGTATGCCGCCCAGGTAGCGGGTGCCAGAGAATCCCTGATCAGTCCGCCAAGCATGATGTCCCGAGCCGCCACATCTCGTCCGGTCAAGACATCCCTTCCTCCCGTGCGCCAGGTGCCACCTGCCGAAATCTCTCACACTGTGAACGAGACAACGCATCAGCAATGACATTCAACAGTCCCGGCACGTGGCGCGCCCGAAACACAATGTTAAACCTCATACAGAACAAGACAAAACAGCGAAAAAGCACACCACCGGGACAGAGGATGCTGATAGCCTGTTCACTGCATCTACCACTGCCATATTGTCCGAAAAGAATACCACCTTCTTATCCCTCAACTGTGGACCCCATAGTGACAGCGCCACTACCAACGGGAACAATTCCAGGAACACTAGGTTGCGTATCAGCGGGCTGGCCTTCCAGGCCCTTGGCCAAGTACCCGCGCACCATTGACCCGAAAAGTAAGCCCCAAACCCGACACTCCCCGACGCATCCATAAACAGCTCCAACTCCTGAGAAGACGCCGCCTGCTCCCGAAAGAACACTTTCCCGATAAAATCCCGCAAGAATTCCCCCCAGATGTCCAAGTCAGCCTTCGTGGCCCCTGATACCCGAATAAGGTGGTGCGGGAACACCACCCCCGCCGTTGCCCTGGCTAGGAACCTGTTAAAAAACCCGTCCGACCGGGATCACCCGACAGGCGAAGATTAGTCGACCGAGCAGAGACTGAAGCACCCGGAGCGTAACCTTCTTAGCTCCCCGCACCTCCGCCACCGCCTGCCGGAGTGCCAGTGACTTGTCCTGTGGCAGCCTGCACTCCCCCTTTACCGAGTCGATCTCCAAGCCCAAGAAACTCAGGCAGGTCATAGGCCCCACTGTTTTGTCACTTGCCAAGGGGACTCCAATCATGTGCGCCACCCATTCCAGTGTCCTCAATCCCCTGCGACATTCCTCCAATCCAGGAGGCCCTACACATAAGAAGTCATCCAGATAATGGACTACCATTCTAGTGCCCACTTCCAGCTTTACCACCCATTCCAGGAATGTGCTAAATTTTTCAAAGTACGCGCACGATATAGAGCACCCCATGGGCAAACAAAGATCTACGTAATATTCCCCCTCGAAGTGACAACCCAGCAAGTGATGGCACTTCGGGTGAATCGGCAAAAGGTGGAAAGCCGACTCCACGTCCGCCTTCGCCAACAACGCCCCCGGCCTGCTCGCTGCACCAGGTTCACCGCCTGGTCGAACGAAGCGTACGAAACCGAAGAAAGGGCCCTGTCTATGTCGTCATCAACTGACGACCCCTTGGGGTAGGACAGATGGTGAATCAGGCGGTACTTGCCGGGCTCCTTCTTGGGTACCACCCCAAGTGGTGATACTCTCAAGTTGGGTAACAGGGGCTCCCTGAACGGCCCCGCCCAGCTGAACCTCCTTATGCAACTTCTCCCTAACCACCCCCGGAGATGAGCCACCACTCGCTACCGAAACGGCATAACGAACCCGTTGGTGAACCCCTCCTCTAGCAACGCCGCATCTTCCCTGTTAGCGTAGTGGCTTAGCACCGGCCTTCACTGATGTGGCCCCCAGAGGCAGGGGACCATGCCGAACCTCCAGGCACCCCTGCTGCGGAGGCTGACTTCCCTTTTTTGAAACACCTGTGAAGTCCGTGGGTGCCTCCACATCCGGAGCATTCATGCTTGAATCGACAAGTGGCCCCCCCACTTGCACTGTCCCTCATTATACAGCCAGCAGTAGCCCCGTTTTTGGTTGGCCGACACGGCGGTAGACGAGCCCGTGCCGGCCCCTGTCTGAAAGGGGGACGCCTTCTGCGCCATCATAAGTTTTATCCAGAGGGGTAGATCCATCTGGTCCCACTTCATCCCCGGGTTAGCAGCCAGGCGCTGACGAAACTGCTCGTCATACCGCCACCAGGCCAGACCCCCGTATGTGCGATAAACCTCCCAAATACCATCCAGGTAACAGAAGAGCTGCGAACAGCGCTCTTCCGCCTTTTCGCCCATCGCGCTGGCCAAGATGCAAAATGCCCTCAGCCAGTTCCCAAACGTCTTAGGTATCTTCCTATACCTCCGCTTCTTTTCCTCCTCCTCCTTTTTGGCATCCTTTTTATCCTCCTCCTTGAGGTCAATGTAGTCCTCAAGGGGGAGAAGCGAAAATATTTCCACGAACTCCCCTTTCCATAGCCTCTCCTTAACCTCCATTTTGAGATGACAGCCCAGTGGGCCTGCGAAAGAAACATGAATGATCTGCCGCGCAGACGCCCCCCAATAAGCTCTCCCTCTCACTTGCCAACCTGGGCGCCTCTACTGTGGGGGTCGCACCCCCGTCCCCAACTGTGCTGCCTCCGGCCACAGAAACCCTCACCGGACTAGCCCCTGAGACCTCTCCCACCCGAGCCCAAACCTGACTGCACTCACTGTCCTTCCTTCTCCCTACACCCCAGGAATCAATTAGGTGCTTAATGTCATCTAGCAGCTCCCCCGACTGTTGTAACGACCATGTCTCACCTTCCGCACCCCTTGCTGCCGAAGGCCGTGGGGTTGCTGACAACCGCAGATCTCCTGCCCCAAGCGTCCCGCTGCTCCGGGCCGTGCTCCTGATGCGCTGGGTCTCACCCGATCCACGGGGGACCTGGAAGACGCCTGTCCTGTAACCGGGTCCACCTTGCATGTCGGCGACCGTCCTGTTGTCCTTGTCGCGTGGGGTCTCTCCCTCTCCGAGGGTGACCGTCCTCGAAACCTGTAAGGAGAAGACATCCTGGGTAGGCTGGCCATAGAAACCCTGCCCCGTCCCCTCTCGTCCTGGGAACAGTCCCCCATCTCCCTGCTAGCCGTCCCCCCCGAAGGTCATGAGCCTGCACAGCAGCCCGCCTCCTCTCCGGGGAACTCCCGCTCGTGGAACTGCCGTCCTGCTGCGACCATCCCCTTGAACCGCCCTATGCCTCCCCTGGGTGTGGTCCACCCCACGGGGTCCCTGTCAGCTACGTCAGCTACCCTCCGATGGCTGCTTCGTGACCGGTCACTCCCGGCGCCTTGCACGCCCTTCGCTTTAGCCCTGCGCACTGTCATCTTTGCTGGTGCCAACCTTCTGCGCTGTTCGTCGATGTCACTCCCTTCCGATCCTCCCCTAACTACCAGCCTCGCCTGTCGTCGTCCCTTCCCCGGTCGTATAGGAAAACCCGGGTAAGCGCTGCACTCCCGCCAGCTGCCTGATGACCCTCTGTTCCGTCTTGCTGCGCTATACCCTTCTCCGTGCCTTAGCCGTCCCCTATCTGCCTCTTGCCCCCCTGCCGTCACTAGCCAAGCCAACACCGGGGCCCACCCCCGAGGTAACCCGTGGCCCAGCCATTGGCGGGGCATTGGCGTCAGAGGTCAACTCACCAGGACAGTGTATAGCCGTTGTCCCTGTTCCTCCAACAGCGCTTCCAGCGTTCCCGTGACCTGCTGCCAAACCTGCTGTACCGCTCATCCTTCTTCCACTGGCCCGTGCTTGTCCAGGCCCCTTTCCAGGACTCCTATCACCTGCGGCCGCTTCTCCTTCATTCCCTGCAAAAGAAGACACAAAAACTGAACGTTCTGCAGTTTTGTTGCCTCCCCGTTCGGCAGCCGAACGGCCAGCAGTATGGCTACCTCCTCGTTCAACTCCCGAACGTTCAGCAGTTCTTTCACCTCCTTGTTCGGGAACCGAACGGTCGGCAGTAACAGTACCTCCACGTTCGGCTCCCGTCTCCCATTCGCCAGTTCGCCTACCTCCACGTCCGCCTCCCGAACGTTCGGCAGTTTCTGCCAGTTTGCTGGTTTGCATACCTCCACGTTCGCCTCCCGAACGTTCGTCAGTCTCCGATTCGGTTCCCGAACCAGCAGCCTGCACCTCCAGCCTCGCTTGACAGCTTGTTTGCACGGTTGCGCCGTCCACGACCTCCTCCACTTGCGGCCTCCCCGCCGGCACTCTCTTCACCGCCATTGGGACCTCCGGAAGGGCTATTCTGACGCCGGGGACCGGGAACCACGCTGGGGCTCAACCACTGCGGAGGCCTGGTCTTCCTGACCGGCCTCTGACCCTGGGAACCTCCAGATCTGGATGGCAGAGCATCACCAGGCGATCCCTGAGCCACTCGATCCCCGTCTCCTGCACAGCAGCCCGCACTCCTTCCAGCCAATCTTCCATCTTGCTGACCTGCAGAGGAAACAAAGAAAACAGCCACACAAATCCTGCTACAACAAACAGGCAGTGTAACTTAGATATAAAATGGCCACTACTTATACTCCCCTTGAAACTCCACCCCAGCATTACCAGTGACCTAACCCTGACCCCCTGACCTTTAGATGGCCTGTCTCCTGGCAATGTTATGGCCCACTCCCCTTAGCTACGCTGCTACGTGGGCTGCATTGTGTGATCCCTATTAGAAGACACACTGTTTCCAAAGTACAGAGCAAAAACTCAGAATCCCAAGACTGTCCTATCAGATCAATCCTGTGCAATTCCAGATCAATAAGAAAGAAAACAGCTTTTATTGTGTGTCTTATACCCCACTTCCTATAGACCGTAAGCTTGTTTTAGCAGGGTCCTCTTCAACCTAGTTCCTGTAAGTTTTCTCGTTACTGTCCTATTTATAGTTACATCCCCCCTCTCATAATATTGTAAAGCGCTACGGAATCTGTTGGCGCTATATAAATGGCAATAATAATAATAAATCCCAGACCAATATCAGTCCACAAACCCCAATCTTTTGAATGCATAGCCCATTGCCTGCCCAGGCTTCTGAGACTAACTCAAGACACACCACATGACGTGGTTGTGCGCTTTCAAAACAAAAGACGCACTACTCACAGCGGCACGCAAACTTACTAAGCTACCTGAGCCTTATTCCAACATCCAGATATATGCTGACCTATCGGTGCTGACAGTGAGCCGCCGGAGAGAGTTTCTTACAGTAACGAAAATGCTGAGCAATAACAACATTCAATATCGCTGGGGCTATCCGACGAAGGTCCTCATTTGGAGAGATTGAAGAACGCACACTGTTAATGAACCGGAGGTGTGCATGCGTCTCATCAACGAATGGGGACTATTCCCTTAACAAGCTTCAGGGGAGGAGGCCGCCGCATCGCTGAAACGCCTGCAGGGAGAGTGGCAGATGGCAGGATCGCTCAACAAGGCCTAAACTGTGACTCCGGGACTCACTCTCACCAGAGGCCTAACTATGTAACTTGAGAGCACGCAATGTATATCCTTTGCAAGTGTGAACAGTATGGGGACATTTGAGCAACATGAACTTAGGCCGGTAATAACAAACTGGTTTTTCCTTTAGTTTTAATAATCATACAAACTTGCTCCTGTGCAAAATTGGTGACCGGGCGCAATGTTGTATTATATGAGGGGCAGGAGTGCGATAGGTGCCCGGCTGTGGCCCTGCGTGATGATGCAGAAATGAGTGGCTGGATTGTGGTGGCAAGTGGGTCACGGTCGGGTACCGGGACATAGCTATAGCCCCCAGGAAGGGCCATGGGCCCGTTCTTCTTGGGAACAAGGGATAGTCCTGCAAATGGATATGTGCCTCAATGGTGAATTGAGAGGCCTCTAGAGGCATACAAAATGTGTACTTGATGTCTAAATGTCAGAGTGAAGGCGATATAATACTATCATATAACTCTGTAAATTATGTGTTTAGGTCAGGACGGTATTGCACCACACACACACATGTAAGGTCATTTATGCCTAGCTCCGAACACCGAGCATACCCCCGAGGATGAGCGTATTAGCTGGGTTACTTTACCGGCTCATGCCTCACACACATGGTGCGCCAACAGCGTAAATGGCGCTATGTATATACTTTGGTTTTTCTATAAGATTATTTTTCTTTTCCTTCCCCCCTGGGTTCTTACCAAACTACTCCTACTACCAACAGGACCACTTCATAATGCTGAAACTCAGCATATCTCTAACATGGGACAATGGCTGACTCCATAAACTTTTATCTCTGAATGTCAAAGGCCTCAAAAGCCCCCACAAACGCAGACTAACAGCTCAAGAAATGACCAAAACGAGGGCAGCAATTGTATGGTTGCAGGAGATGCACTTCTGTGTCCGCAACCCACCTAAGTTTAATATCAGACAGTATGCCCAAGCCTATCATGCCATGTCCTGCACTAAATCAAAGGGCGTCTCTATATACTTCCACAGTGACTGGGTATTTTCTCCCTCTAAACAATATATAAGCTGTGATGGCAGGCTGTTGATACTAGCGGGATCCCTTAATGGCCTACAGATAACTGTAGTCTCCCTGTATGCCCCTAATGATACGCACAAGTCCGTTTTGAGTATGACCTTGTGCAAAATAGAACAGTACAACGTAGGACACACGATCATATGTGGGGACTTTAATTGCACCCTATTCAGAGAGCCCATAGCAAACTGCCGAAAACATCTTCAGTATCCCTCAGTCAACATCTCACCACTCTTCTACATGAACATGACTACTATGACATCTGGAGGACTCCTTATCCTCAGACGCCGGACTATACATTCTATTCACTGGTACATATGACCTATACCAGAAGAGATCTATGTCTCTTTGATAAAAGAACACTGCCGGGGGGCAGCGCCACAACCTAAAGCTGAGCAGACGCCATATATGCGAGCTCCTAGCCTGAAAACTAAAAATCGCTAAATACCTCGAGCAGCACTCGCCACTCAATCCAAAGCACAGCAATATTGTCACCGGGATTGAAGATCGAATCAACCGATGCCTTTCATGCACATACCAAGGTCTGGCAAACTTAAACGCAAACCCAGGGCCTACCAAACTCCATCGATCCACGACCTGGAGAAGCTGCTCGGAAGAGCATACATCCAAGGTGACTCTGATCCGGATGGCGATTTCTACCCATACCATAAAAACACACTCGAGACCATGGGGAAGCGCATGCAGAAGACTCACCCTGGTTCCACAACAGAACAGCAGGACATAGGCGCCTTACTACAGCGACAGGCGCAGAACAAGATGGCACCTGCGGATCAAACACCGTCCTGCTCACCGACTCACACAGCTTCTCAAACGGACACAGATCCCATGATACCGGCAACCACTGCAGCGCCGAATGGCACAGCACTCGCCACCAAACAGGACTTACAAACCTGGGTGCAGGACATACAAAAAATGCTGGCTATAGATGTGGGTCTCCTAAAGGCTGACATGCAAAATGTCACCGGCCGCGTGCGAGCGACGGAGGAAGACATCATGGACATGCAAAGCGGAATGACTACCATGAAACAAACACTAACCCAACTACAAGCTGCAAAGCCTAACGCTGCAAATGTCCACGCATGAAAACCGCACCAGACGCAACAATATAAAAAATCCGCGGAATACCCGTCGAAATACAGGCAGATGAACTACCACACTGCATAAGGCGGCTCCTCGCCACCATACTGCCACCGGCGGTCGGCCGGAAGATCGCACTAGACGGCTTATACCGACTCCCACCTACTCCCGCCGCACAAACCAGGGATGTCATTCTGCGCTGTGCCACCTCCCAGGACTGGGACCACATTATGGCTGCCACCTGAGGCAAAACCCCTCTTACCTTCAAAAAAGGCCAATTATCATTTTTACAGGACTTAACTTGAGCCACATTACAATGGCGCAGGTCACTGAACCAACTCACAAGCCACCTACGCACACCTTGAATTCCGTACCGCTGGGGAGCAATGAGAACCCTGTCAATCACCCACAAGATATCCTCAGATACTGAGATACCTGCACTTCTGGACAAAATGGGACTACCGGACTTACCAACAATCCTCAACGGGCACAACCTAGGGTATGGAACCCGGACACCACAGCACCATTCATACCAAGACAGACCACCTCTGCAAGCCCAATGAACTGACCGGGATCGGCTAAGCCCACAATCTGGGCCATACCCAGGGATCCTAAATGACTGGATGGCACTGACGGCAACCAAAGAAAGTGCACTCTAATTTTTCCTATTGTTTCTCTCTTTTCTTTCTTTTCCTTTATCATACTGTATTACCTGTTATGACGAGTTCACACTTAATATGTTATGAAGCCCATGCGCTGCCTACACCTCGGCAAAGCTCACTCATTCATTCACTTATGCCAAACACAAAACCACGACACCATAGCAATATATCTCCTCCCCCACCCCTCCCCCCTTGATATTTATCCTATGTCTGGAACCCCTGATACACCTTATAAATCATTGCACAGGCATACAAGGCCTGCACACTCCAGGAGGCATAAAAAAGTTAGCTCTCTTCGCGGACGACATCCTAGTATATGCAACACATCTAGCTACCTCTATATCCAATCTTTTAGAGCTCCTTAGAGCATATGGGAGTGTGTTGTACTATCAATATAAAACATCTAAAACCCAAGCTTTACCTGTCAATCTACCACATCCCAAGGTGTCACAATTAAAATTACAATATGCTTTTGACTGGGGTACGTCATCCCTCTCATACCTAGGAATAAAGTTGACTTAGTCCCTTCAGAATATCCCTAAAGAGAACCATAATCCGGTCATGCAGAAACTTAAATCATCATTGGAAAAATGGGCAAGCTTGGAGATGTCATGGCTGGGCCGCATCAATTCCATAAAAATGATGGTGCTGGTGCACATTCTTTACCTCTTTAGAACACTACCCATCCCATTGCTAAATAAACTAATAAAACTCTTCCAGTCCAAAACTAACGCCCACGTTTGGAAGCGGAAGCCCCCTCGAGTGGCTCATCACAACCTAGGGCTCCCATACACCAAGGGGGTTCTGGGCTTGCCAGGCATTAAGACCTACTCCGTCATAGTGCAAGGGCTCCGACTTCTTAGGCTGTCCCACCAATCTCAGCACCCACTCTGGCTATCCCTAGAAAACGCATGCCTAGACCCACAAACCATCCCATACTCCCTGTGGGCAAATACCATTCCCCAGTCAACTGAAGCACACCTGCTGCAGTGTTCAAAGTTTCTATTACACTCCTGGCAACTTTGGAGACCACTCATCGTAGACACCGCACTACTCTTTAGATTAGTGCCTATAGGAATGCTCACAGCCCTCTCCCCTGACCTGTCAGTTGTACGATGGAAAGCAAGGGGCATCCATCAAATTGGTGACCTGCTGGTAGGCAAGGAGATAAGGCAATTCCCTGACCTCAAAGTAGACTTCTCACTACCAGCAAGAGATTTGTATTTATACCTGAGGGTAAAAAAAAAATCTTACAAATGAGATTACATAGCATATCAGGTCACCCCAAAGAGACCCCACTCTCGCCGATCCAAATACTGTCACCCAAACCAATTAAGCCTCTATCCATGTGCTATAATGCCCTTCTCAAAGGTGTATCTATAGAGAAATTGCCATATTGACTCAATAGGAAAATGAACTGCGGCGGCAGATTCTCTTGACACAATGGCAGGAGGCAATTGAAGGAGTCTCTCGCTCTGGGAAACTTACTGTAAAACATCAATGAGATGGTACCGGGTGCTGCACAGGCTAGCAGAAGTGTATAAGGGCTCGTCTGGGCTCTGCTGTAGGTGCAAAGCAGAGGAGGGTACCATGCTGCATATGTTCTGGGATTGCCCAACTCTGAAGGCGTTCTGGAGGCAAATCCAGACCCACATCTCATGCACAACATACCTCTATCTCCCATTAAAACAAGAGCACTATCTAATCCATATAATCCCTGACTTGGCAGAGCATCCTCATCGTAAGGTGATCTTAAACGTTCTCACAATAGCAAAAGTCACTCTGGCTAGTAACTGGAAGAGCACACAAATCCCCATTGGAGGTGGCCATCAGCAACAAACTAGACACAATTAGCTCTTATGAGCGGATGGCATGTAGACTAAACTGCTGTATGGGTACATATGACCGTGACTGGAGCAGTTGGACTCCCAGGCGGTAAGACCATGCTCTGTGACCGACGTGACAATTTCAGGGTGCTTGGGCTACTTATTGAGGAACGGAGTAAAAACCACTGTCAGGTAAAGGGCTTGCCCTACGTACAGGCACTAGCACCACAGCATGTGAAGTCGCAATGTTACAAGGGTCCCTTCCCCTCCCAGTCTCTTTTTTTTCTGTATTTCTCCCCTGTTACTTAGTAAAATGAAAATGTACAATGCAACAAGTTAACGGTAAAGGTACATCACTCCAGAACATTACGGATAGATACTTATGTACTATATGCAAAGAGTGTTAAGTCACATCTTCTGCAATGTCATGCCTACATAGTTGAGAGCACTCGCATTGTCTAATGGCTGAATCGCTATGACAACTGTGTTATTACCGCTCAATTACTGTTATTCCCATTCAATAACTGTTTATTTACGGACTACTCAATGTGTGACAAATGTGTAACCCAAGAGATGTGATGTACACTACTATTCTGTCTGAATAAATAAAAAATGATATATGATTAATATATATATATATATATTTTAAAAAAAAAAATGGGATGAGATGGGAAGAGATTTCTTCAGGAACTCTCAGACCTTTTGGCTGGCATAATCCTTGAGCACCCCAGATGGCTTATTTTTGGAGATAACACTTAGATTGATGACCTGCTTGGGCAGGATCTCTTTGGCTTGAGTAGTACATTCGGCTTCACACAAATAGTCGCCACTTCCACCCACAGAAAAGGTCATAAACTTGATCTAGTGTTCCAGTCTGAACTAGAAGTGTCACCAGTAACTGTAAATCCAATGGTTTGGTCAGACCATTTCTCCATTGTATCGCAATCAGCCAGACCCCAGCCTCAAAACCTGGTCAAACACCGCTCATTAAAAAGGGTGACGCCATTGGATGTAACATCACATATGGATCTAAGTGAACTAATAGGCACCTGTGAAGACCCCAGTTCCTTAGTCCGACTCTAGCACAAAACCATGAAAGATACCCTAGAAAGCATTGCACCAACACACATACGCACTGTCAAAACCCACAACAATGTACCGTGGGTTGATAGCACCATCAGAGAAATGAAGAGAACAGGCCGTAAACTCGAGAGAAAGTGGCGCAGGACACATGATCCAGAGGATAAAGTCGCTCTTACCACACATCTAAACTAATATCAATTCAAGATAACTGAGAAAAAAAAAATGCTATCACGCAAAATAGCACTCTCTCACAATAGACACAGGCAACTGTTTTAGACAGTAGAAAGGCTCTGCAAACCATAATGCATGTATATCCCCACCAACTTTTCTCAGGATAAGTGTGAATCTTCTTCAGAGACTAGATTTCCTCAATCCGAATCTCTATCACAGCAGGCCAAACAGTTACACATCAGAACCACTATAGTGGAATGCCAGATTTCCCCAGTCTATGGTCCACTTTTACAAAAGAACCATGCAAACGTTACACCCTACTACATGTGACTTAGACCCTGCTCCAATTCAGCTTATATCTGCATGCATTGAAACATTCGCCTCACAAAAATAGTGGTGTTCACTAAATACTGGAGACTTCTCAGATCTTCTAAAAGAAGCTGTGGTAAAACCACTCCTAAATAAACTATTATTAGACCCAGACTGCATGGTTAATTACAGAGCAGTATCCAAACTTTCATTTCTGGCTAAGATAATTGAAAAAGTAGTGGCAACTCAACTGAAGGCCCATCTATCAAGCTTGAACATCTTTGATCCTTTCCAGTCAGGTTTCAGATGCTTTTCCACAGCACTGACAGTGCTAGTCCGAGTGCTAAATGATCTCCTTATGGCGAGAGACAAAGGTGATTACTCCATCCTAATCCTCTTGGATCTCTCAGCGGCATTTGACACCATTGAGCATAGGATTTTAATAGAGAGCTTGCAGCACATCTGTGTTCTAGGAGGCACAGTCCTTAACTGGTTTAAATCTTTCCTCACTGGTAGATCACAGAGAGTAACATCAGGATCAAGCTCATCGGCACCAACAGAACTGACCTGCGGAGTTCCACAAGGATCCATCTTGTCTCCCATGCTATTCGCAGTTTACTTGCTACCACTGGGGGACATGGCCTAAGGTATCATTGTTACGCTGATGACACAACTCCTCTTCTCCTTTGCTCCAGATACCATAGACCCAACATGCCACATTAAAAGTTGCTTAGCAGACCTCATAGCATGGATGAATGCGAGTTGGCTTAAAGTGAACATGGACAAAAAAAAAAAAGTTACACTTGGTGAGGGGACCGCAGGCAACAAAAATATCCCATGACCACCCAACTGGCCTGGAGCTTGGAGGCTCTGAACTCATCAGTTCATCAAAGGTATGAAACCTGAGGAGTGACCAGTGATCACTTCACTGGTCACTCCTCAGATAGCTGTTAGAGATCCTTCCTGGGTCATGGCTGCCTAAAATGCACCCAAACATTCAGTATCTCCTCCCTCTGCATGCAGACACTGAACTCTCCTCATAGAGATTCATTTATTAAATTAATTTCTATGAGGAGATGCTGATTAAATCATGCTGGCTCTGCTCCTGATCTGCCTCCTTGTCAGTCTAAGCCAATCCTATGGGGAAGCACTGTGATTGGATCAGGCTACCACTTCTGATGATGTCAGCAGACTGCTTGTTTTTTTAAGGCAAACAGCATGCAGATCTACAGCTTCTGGCTTGAATACAGTAATATTTTGCTATATTTATGGAGGCATGAGGGTCCCAGGGGGGCTAGATGGTGGTTTTAACACTATAGGGTCAGGAATACATGTTTGTGTTCCTGACCCTATAGTGATCCTTTAAACAGCAGATTTCCTCTGTAATAAAATCTGCCTACTTTCACCTGAAAAACATAGCCAGGATACAACACTTAATTCCACCGGATGGTGTGGCAACATTAATCCATGCATTTGTATCCTCTCGGCTAGATTACTGACATGTACTTTACTTGGGCCTCCCAGAAAAAGAACTCCATCGCCTTCAGACTGTACAAAATGCAGCAGCCAGATGACTGACCAATCAAACTCACTCCTGCCACATAACACCTGTTCTCCGCTCCCTGCATTGGCTTACAATTAAATGGCGAACATATTTTAAAATTGGCCTACTAACCTTCAAAGCCTCAAACAATCAATGCCCACAGTATCTGAAAGAGCTCCTGCCACCCTACATTCCATCCCATTCACTTCGGTCAGCCAGCAAATCCTTCCTGTCAGTGCCAAGAGTAAAGACAGACCCAGGTTCCAGGGCATTCAGCCAGCCTGCCCTTACCTTCTGGAACTCTTTACCATGTGCAATCAGAGAGGCAACATCCTTACAGACTTTTAAAAAAAAAAAGAAAAAGCTAAAGATCCACCTCTTCCCTCAGGCAATTCGTCCACTCAGCTGACCTTCAGAAACTCCTAACTTTTATGTCTATGTTTGTATACTTGTAAAGTGCTTTGAGTCTCACAGGGAGAAAAGCGCTATAAAAATAGCAAATTATTATTATTATAGCTCTCAACATCATTATATGCAAGCAGAACCACTGATTAGCAGGATTTTGTAAGGAAAAAAAATCAGTTCTGGAAAATACACCATTTAATAATACTAATTTTAAATTAGTATTTAATAATACTAATGCACATGCCCCCCCCCCCCTCCAAATTTTATGTTTTCAAAATATTAAAATATCACATAAAAATTATCAGTGTATTAAATAACATTATAAAAAATAAAAAAAATTGCCAAAAATATTCAATCAAGGCCATACTATATAATGTTGCTTCTAAAGCATGCGCAGATACATACAGGATCCAAAGTCCTGCCTTTATTAGCTAGTCCAACACGAGAGTTATGGGTTGGCTAAAGTGAATGCTGTGCATATTACATAAACATATGTCAGTCAGAGAATGAACAATAGGATCGATTCCCGGCTTCTGCAGAAACCAGATAGGAGGCCTGGCTCCTGGAAAGACCCAGATAAAAGGTACATCATTGCAAAATGGTGTACCCCTTTACATGAAAATGGCACGAGGGCGCTCCTGGCATCATAATTACCACAGCAGGTTTGAGAGGTTATAATGCTTACGGTAACATTTTCATTTCATTTTTCTGACGTCAAACAGATATTGAATATATGGGATAGTTCCACTTTCACTACACTGTGAACTGTAGGAAATTCTTATTAATATTATTTACAAACAATGTCAATCTATTCCGCTGAACTTTAAAATGAAAAGGACTGGAGGCTAGAGGGAGAATCTGATGGCACAAGGTACGGAGTTCCATAGGAACGGGGCAGCCCTTAAACTCCTACAGATTAGAGTCGGCAGTGAGGAAACAAGCAGATGGCAGGAAAATGTCGCCCGCAGAGCAAAAGGAACCAGAAATGTGTATTATTTTGAGCAAAGAGAAATGTGATGAGTTTAGTTATTGAGGGATTTTGAAGGTTACGGTTAGCATTTTAAATTGGAACCTGAAGGGTACAGGAAGCCAATCTAGTGACTGGCAAAGAGGTGAGGTGAAGGAGTAGCGGTCAGCCAGGAAGGTGAGCCTAGTGGCACACACATTTGAGACTGAAGAGGGGAAATCCAGGAATGTGGAGGGCCAATCAGTAGTAATTTGCAATAGTCAAGTTTGGAAAGAATAAATGCATGAACAAGTGTCTTGGTTGTATCTTAAGTTAGAAAGAGGGAAATCTGGGCACTATTTGGTGGGAAATTACAGGATTTGGAGACAGACTAGATGTGAGGAGAAAAAGGTAAGTCCTGAGTCAAAACTAACTTCACAACAGCAAGACTGAGGGATTGGCATGACAGGGGTCTCAATGACAAGCAGGGAGGTAGATGGAGAACTATTTACTATTTGCCTTTGAGACCGGATATTAGCCCAGGAATGAAAATTACCCCCATGATGGCATACCATTTGCAATAGTAAACAACCCAAGCTATTGCAATTTTTTAATAGCCACTTAGTCACAAACACTGGCCAAAATTGGTGTTCAAATTAGTTTTTTTGCATTTTTCACACACAAACAAATATTAACACTAAATTTGGCCAGTGTTTGTGAAAAAGTGGCTACTAAAAAAGACTGGGCATACCCCATTAGCAATACCTTGGGTTGTCTGCTATTGCAAATGATATGCCATCATGGGGGTAATTCTCATTCTTGGGCTACCATATGGTCTGAAAGGCAACGTAACCAATCTGGTGAATTTCAATGTGAAAAAACTAAAAATAGTAACATGCTATATTTGACGCTGTACCTTCCCAAAACACCATAAAACCTGTACATAGGGGGTACTGTTTTACATGTGAGACATTGATGAATACAATAGGTCTATTTTATTGCAGTAAAAGCAAAATAATTTTCTCCTTTTTTTTTATATTTTATTCATATTAAATTAAGTTTCATACCTAAATATTTGATGTTATAAAAAAAAAGTGAATGAAATTATATATAATAAGTATGGGTGCACATAATATGAAAGAGGCGAATAAAGCCTGAACAGACATACAGCACAAATTGCAGGTTTTGTTTAAGTTCTGATCACAACGTGTACATTTGGCTCAGTATTGAGAGACAAAATACACAGAAACCACAACACTGAAATAGACTAAAAACTGTCACACAGGAAAATCCAAAATCCAAAGCATTCTGAATGAACTTCAACATATGCAAACATATACAAATCATAGTCCATGCACACAACCATGCTCTAACCAATAGATGGTACTGCATCAAGGTCTATGGTACTTGGAATGTTGGTGTAACCTGTGACACTAATAAATGGTAACATGAATCTTTAGCTTGGCAACCCTTACTTAAAAGGAACATTCTAAGTACCATAACCACTATTGCTCTGCTTAGTGGTTATGATGCAAGGAGTGCTCTGGCACCCTCCCAAAGTAATCAAACCATTTTTGGCAACTTACCTGCAATCCACCAGACACAATGCCTTCTCTGTAGCAGGAAGCTCCTACAAGGGCTGAAAGGGTCAGCGGAGTTCTATCAGATGAGCACTGCTGGGCTTAGCCAAGTGCAAAGGCGGTGGTGGTAGTGGGTGCCTGGCAGACCCCAGGTAAATTGTCATACTGTTATTAAATAGTTTGAAAACTTACCCTGAGCGCATGCCAGGCAATACCTGGCATCACAACCACTACAGCAAACTGTAGTGGTTATGTTGTTGGAGTGTTCCTTAAAGATGAGTTGGGATGACATGACATATATGAATGCTAGAATTCATCCATACCAAGACCATTGTAATGTAGTTTGTTACAACAATTTTGGATTACAAGTGTCTTTTTTAGTGAAATGGCAGATCTGTTGTAAACCATTCACTTGTGTTATCAATACAGAATTTGAACACAATTTCCTATGGTTCCTTACACTTAAATTATATGGAAATTGTCCTAAACCTTAGACACACAATACATATCCTATTCCATTTTTTTTAAAATAGTTTTTACAGATTTACAGTCTTTTCATCACCCACCATATCTTTCCCTCATATTCATCAACTATGTATTTTTCCTTATAAGCACCCTTGTAACACTTACCTTATACTACCATAAATACAAATAAACCACATTGTAACACTTACCTTATACTACCATAAATACAAATAAACCACATTGTAACACTTACCTTATACTACCATAAATACAAATAAACCACATTGTAACACTTACCTTATACTACCATAAATACAGATACAAACTGGTTGAAGCTAAAGAGCATAGCAAAACCCCAGAGCTGCTGTCCGTTTTCTGCCTAATAATGACTAGACCAGAGTCAGATTCAATGTGTATAGCTAGCTCATAGAACAAAGAATTCTGACATCTATTACATCACAAGGTTTAGCTTTATTTTAAAACATAATTAGAAAGATCAATGCAAACTATAAAGGGACCATAGTTTTATGATTGATTATATGCAATAACATGTCTCTATGCATTATGGATTGCTAATGCCTTAACTACCAAGCACTTTTTGATTAAAGAAAATTTAGCATTAACATGTATTTTGAATCAATAGATGCATAACTAGCATCTACAACCTGTTCCAAATTATTATGCAAATTCTATTTAAGTGTCACAAAGATTAAATATTTTGTTTTTCAGTTTAATTCATGAATGGCATTGTGTCTCAGGGCTCTTTTGATCACTGAAAACAATCTCGGACACCTGTGATAATTAGATTGCCAGGTGAGCCCAATTTAAGGAAAAACTACTAAAGGAGGGTATTCCACATTATTAAGCAGAGCACCATTTTCATGCAATATGGGGAAGAATAAGGATCTCTATGCTGCCAAAAAGAGTGAAATAGTTCAAGGCGTTGGACGAGGTATGAAAACATTAGATATTTCACGAAAACTTAAGCGTGATCATCGCACTATTAAGAGATTTGTGGCTGATTCAGAGCACAGACGGGTTTGTGTAATAAAGGCATATTGAGGAAGATTTCTGCCAGATCCATGCATCGGATCAAGAGAGCAGCTGCTAAAATAACATTCCATAACAGCAAACAGATATTTGAAGCTGCTGGTGCCTCTGGAGTACCATGGACATCAAGGTGTAGAGTCCTCCAGAGTCTTGCAACTGTGCATTAACCTTCTATTCAGCCACCACTAACCAATGCTCACAAGCAGAAATGGCTGCATTGGGCAGAAAAATACATGAAGACTAATTTTCAAACAGTCCTGTTCACTGATGAGTACCGTGCAACCCTGGATGGAGTAGTAGATGGTTGGCGGACGGCCACCCTATTCCAACAAGGCTGCGACATTAGCAAGGTGGTGGAGGAGTCATGTTTTGGGACGGAATCATGGGAAGAGAGCTGGTCTGTTCCTTAAGGGTCTCCAAAAGGTGTAAATATGACCTCTGCAAAGTATGTGGAGTTTCTGACTGACCACTTTCTTCCTTGGTACAGAAGAAAGAACTATGCTTTCCGTAATAAAATCATCTTTATGCATGACAATGCACCATCTCATGCTGCAAAGAATACCTCTGCATCAATGGCTGCTATGGGGATAAAATGAGAGAACGTCATGGTGTGGCCTCCATCCTCCACTGAACTCAATCCTATTGAGAACCTTTGGAGCATCCTCAAACAAAAGATCTATGAGGGTGGGAGGCAGTTTACATCCAAACAGCAGCTATGGAAGGCTTTTCTGACATCTCGCAAACAAATTTAAGCAAAAACTGTCCAAAAACTCACAAGTTCAATGGATGCAAAACTTGTGATGCTGCAATCAAATAAAGGGCCCTATGTTAAAATGTAACGTGACCTGTTAAAATGTTTAAAAGGTTAAAATGTTGTTATAAGTTTGAATGAAATAGCTTTTGATTTCAGTAAATATGCTGCAAACACAACAAATGACAATTTTCAGTTCTTTACAACCTATGAAGTGTTTTGAAACTTACTGTGCATAATAATTTGGAACAGTGCATTGTAAGTTTATGTTTAAAAAAATACTGTAATCGTTAGGTTTGTTCAATAAAATTTGAATTGTACTCTTAATAGTTGATAACATGAGCATTATGCTGACTGTTATTTACATCAATTATTTAGGTAAATGAGAAAAATATAGTTTGCATAATAATTTGGAACAGGGTGTAAACAGATCATAACACAGCAAGTTTGTGTGTATATTGCTTTGCAGACAAATGTAAAAACATAATGTATGTTCACACGTTTTAAATTTCACTTAAAAAAAAAAGAAAAAAAAAAAAAGAAATGTAAAGCTTTAAACATTTTTCTTGCAATATTTGACATGGTCTGAAATGATAGTGTAAAAGCAAAAACACATTTGTTTTTCTTACAGACAGATTTGAAAAAAGAAAAAAAAAAAAAAAATGAATGCAAAAAGTCAAATACCTTGCTTATACATATTTGCAAGGACCCTAAAGGCTGTACAGGTTACTGAAAATGGCATCAGAACATAAAATATGTCTGCATTTGACAGTGCCCACATGCAGTAAATATATATTGCTGAAATAAAGGCAATTAACATTCCAGAGATTGATCGAGTTCATTCAATCCTCATCAACCGTAGGAATTACATAAAATACAGAACACACAAAAATACAATTTTAAATTTTATAAGGCTACTTAAATCACCTATCTCAATAAATATGGAGATTCAAATCCACAATGATGACCATTGTTTGCTGAGAGGTGATTTTAAGTAGTCATGTAAAATAACTGTTACATTCTATTTATTCATAACAGATTAATTAAATACACTGCTGTTCATTTAGCATTAGGCATTATTTAATTGGTTTCCCATGTTAAAATTAGTTTAGGATCCACCAATATTGGGGTACTGTTTAGTAATAGGCTGAACACAAAATAGCCATATGGTGTAACTGAATCCCCATACTTGTTTGTCAAGATAGGTGATTTTAAGTCAACTAGGGAATTGCAAAATTCTAAAATAAGTGTATTTATGTATATGCACTGTTAATATGTATTTTGTATAGATTTTGGTCTCTCCTGTAGCACCACTGCGGAGAAATGCAAATTCACCCCCTCCCCCCCCGTATGTAGGAATGATATGACCCACTGAAACTTCCTGCATAGTTTGGAAGCAGGGTTGAGCTAACATTTTCAGGAAATTTACAAGTGTTATATCAGTGAATAGTGGCAGATACATTTGTTCCTCTACAATCTGGTAAATCATAACTAAAGTATGAATGAGGGGGAGTGAGGCTTTATGGACTAAATTTCAAAATACATGAAAGGCCTTGCATAGATTACAGGACAAGGTGCTCTCCTGCCTGCTTTGGGCATCAATTTTGATTCAAATACTTACATGAATTAAATGGTTTCTGAACCATGAGCAACATACCATATATCAGCTTGTCTGACATTTATGAGATATAATGGGATAAAAGGGAAATCTCATGTATCAATGGCAAACAAAGCCATCACTACTAACCGATCGTTGTCTGAATCCCATAACATACCAAAGGATTGTTATTGATAATGTGCATTATGGTAGCAGACTAACCATTGTCAAGTGGATACCTCCAGCAGGAGAATAAGCTACCAGAAAATGATTAATGGTTCCCAGCAATGTTCAGTAAAATTACTTTTTCTTAATGAAGTACATTTGCAAATGCAAATTATTTCTCAATTCTCCAGTTAGGATACCAACAAAATCTGGACTGTTGGTGTGACATGAGGACTATGTGGGGAACTACTGTTCTAATAGACAGCAGAGCCCTAAAAACTCAAGTCATTATCATCAGATATTGGAAGGGGGAGACACATGGAATGCAGTCCATATTCCACTCACCAGTTGAAACAAACCACCCAAGCAAAACATGAAAAACCAGAAGTATTTTATTTCAATAACATAAGCATCATTCAGAATAAATTAGAACAATAGTGTGCAGACAGGTCAATGTATGACTAGATGTTATAGTGTTAAATTTTACCTAATGCTTTATTATTACAGATTCTGATAGAATTACACTCTTTATATTAGAATATACTCATCCGTGATTAGCACCATAGGGCATTGTTAGAAGATGTACAGGGGAGATTTTCTTATTTTATCAGACAGTAACAGATTTGAGAAGTCCGATTCACTGCAACAATGCAAGAGAATGAGTGTTCATTCCAAAATTCACGTACTTAAATGATTTATGGATACTCTCAAAGGGATACTTCTGGATTACAGAGATTGCTCTCTGCACAAATGGAGGAGTTTGGGAGTTTATCCACTAAACTAGGAATTCTTTAGGACTAACAAGGAAAGTTAATAGTTAGAGGAAAAATGTTATGGCTATTTTGGCCTTAATTTGGAATCACCTCATCGGTTCTCTTCATCTAATCTATACTAGCGGCTTTGTTATCAGATAATCATTTACTCAATACCACAAATGGGTCTCAATTTTGTAAAATATTTTTACTTTGCTACCTTGGTATAAATACTGCTCTGATGTTGGAAGGCTTGAATATATCTGTAATATGCAATAGTAAAAATAAAACCAAGCACAATGCATAGAAGCCAATACAACAGCTGACCAGGTATGTTGGACTCTAGGACATAGATTCTATAGGAGTTTAGCTCAACAGGGTTTATGATTTAGAATAACACCAGTGTCATTACTTAACACACACACACACACTGGGAGGATAACAGAAAGACCTCCCTGCACACAATGCGGGGGGGATTTAGATAAAAATACACTATTTTCGAGCACTAAAACTGGCTCCCTTTTTTTGTTTGTTCTTGGTTGTATGTATAGACAACTGGCTTTATAAAGGTGTATCACAATAAAGGCACAATTGCGCAAGTGGTAGAGGTAACACCTTTGTTTGGTTGACGTAAAATTTTAACTCTAAAAAGCGATCTAAGAAATATTGTATGTTTGCAACATATATTACAATTCCTAGATCAAACCATGTCCATTTTTACTTATAGCATAGCTGTATTTTGACGCAGTGGTGCCTTTTGAGGATTGTAATCATCTTATACACTTTTTATTAATACAATATTATCTGAACGTAAAAGCGCATATTAGGTCAGTTGTGATCTATAATATAATGTAATATTGGGGGGAAAAAAAGGGAATGAAAAAAAAAAAAAAAAAAAACACACCACACCTAATAGAGAAGGCATGAATTATCTCAAACATCGGCAATATGTATGAAGAAACCTTTGTAAGCAAAGTGCTAAATGTAGGTCAATCGCAGAAGAAACCAGTGGATTACTTTCACCAACTGCTCCACTTTTAGAACCTTACCACAGAGTTCTCGTTTTATACATACGGCCCAATGTCTTTTAAAATTATATATAATCATCATAAAATATACGAGCCTTCTCAGCACTTACTCATTATATTGAAGTAGGACTGCAGCTAAGTGTAATGCCTCCTACTTTGTGATCTATCTATAAAGATAAAGAGGATGCTGATTAGGTCGAGTAGTTTCTGCCGTCCTTCACAGGGTTCTTCCATGACAATGTAGAAAACTTTAAATAAAAGTAATTCGAAAAACAGAACGTATGGCACAATTCTGAGGAATTCAATACTATCAGAACACAATTCTCTATAAGAGATAAATAAATAATACATAAACCAAAAATGGCAGTGCAACATGAAAAATTGTGATCTAAAATTACATGTTTTTATGTAGTTTGACTGTCCCCCATGCTTGAAAACTGAAAAAAAAATGCTAACCATATAACCCATACAGAGAAAACTTGGAAACAGTGTGGCGTCTCATTCCCTGGTCCCACTGTAATCTTTTACACCTGGAGCATTAATATATTATGGACACTGTGTCCTGTAATTAAAGTAGTGCTATTTGCACACTGGCCTACTGTACATCTATATTTTTTACTACTAGTGCTAGCTCAGTAAAATGCATGTCCAATGCTATCTGGACCCATTTATGCTAGCCAGGTACAAATAAAAAAACAAATGGAACAGAGGACAATGCACTGGTGATTGAACAAGGCTATTTGCGCTTGCTTTTGGTGTCTGTGGTTTGGAAAACACTGGAAGCAGACATAAGATTCTCAATGTACTGCCCTAGAACTTGGTTTTCAGACTTGAGTTTCAGGTTTTCCTCTTTAACAGCATCAACCCGAGCTGATAGATCTGGAAGTGAAGAAAATAATTGAAAACAATTATACTCCCACAAATTATGGTTATCAATATGCATGTAAAAGAAAAGATACTTTTGCCCTAGACGATTATTTAGATATGCATTTTAAAATGGCAAACAATGTGCTGGATGGGGGGGGGGGTTGGGAGTCCCCAGCTACTATGTTTGTCAAAATTCCGATCATAAGTACATCAAAGTGACTGTAATTGTCTCTGGCACAATATGTGCCCCAAGTGAAAGGTTGGCAACAAATTACATGCATTGATGGAGAACTATCACCACAGAAAAACTGAAAGTTACCTATAACTTTATTTTACACATTCTGCACCATTTTCGTATACAATGCAATTATTAGGAGAAGCATTGCTTAATTTCTTCTCGCTGCGCTTATAGCAATGATTGGCAGCAGCAAGCGCTTACCTTTCCAGCAGCTCCCCTGTGTAAATCTCGCGAGTCCCGCGGCCGTCAGAGCCGCAGGCCGCAAGATTTACACAGGGGAGCTGCTGGAAAAGTAAGTAAGCGCTTGCTGCCGGCCCCCACTGCACATCCATGCCACCTGACCACCAGGGTCTGTCATAGCCCCCCTCCCTGGCCAGGCAACAAGCAGGGAGGGGGGCTAAAAAAAATTAAATAAAACATATAAGCATTACAAATTAAAATAACAAAATGGCTTTCTCCCCCCATTTTACACAGATCACATCCCTTCAGGAACACACACTACACAGTCTGTATTTAATGCAGAGTGTGTAGTGTGTATATATAATGCACACACCACACACTCTGCATTTTGTATAGATACACACACACTACACAGTCACTGCATTAACTATACACACACACACTACACAGTCACTGCATTAACTATACACACACACACTACACAGTCACTGCATTAACTATACACACACACACACTACACAGTCACTGCATTAACTATACACACACTACACAGTCACTGCATTAACTATACACACTACACAAACACACATCTCCCCTGTCTAAACACACTGCATCCACTGCATGTGGCATGTATATTTTGTGCATTTACCTTTAGAAATAGTTTATTTTTTCAAAATGGTAAATGCACAGAATATCGGCACGTTATCGGCTATCAGCCTGAAAGTTCACAGATTATCGGCTCTATAAAAAACAATATCGCTCGATCCCTAGTTTGTTGCTCAAGTTAGTTTGTGTGCCATTTATATGTATGTTGCTGTGTGCCTGACTCTGAATAAATATTTGTTAAAGTGGATGGACCAAAGTGATATTATTAAACCCTTAAGAAAAGAAAACAGAAAAAACACAAATTTACTACAATATTTAGCAGAAACTGGCAGTGAAATGGCTACATAAAAAGTGTACACAAAATATCCTTCGGTAAATAGCATGTGATATCTACTTTATATAAATATATGCTTTTGTGTGGCAATTTTGTTTTCTGTGATGGCTATTAAACATACCAACTTCTAAAATTGTTTCACATTGAAATACTATTTTACTTCTTGTATTTTGTAACTTTCAAAATACTCTGAAATCCTAGACATATGTATATCAAGACACAGATTAATTTATATTGAATTACTTTTCCTAAGCAGGACATATCATTGTAATATACAATACAATTAACCTCTTAAGGACACAGCTTCAGAAGCTATACTTCTACTTAAAGGGACACTATAGGCACCCAGACTACTTCAGCTCATTCCCATGTCCCTTAACCCTGAAAAGGGAATTATGGCAGTTTTCAATAAGCCACCCTTGTGGGTTAACTCCACCTTTAATTTAATGTGCCACATAAACAAACAAACAAGCAGTCTCATTTATTATGAACATTTAAAAAAAAAAAAAAATTTTTAATACCACAATCATTAGCATTACATTTAAAGTAAATGTACAACTCTTCAACCCACCCCTCCCCCTGTTTCCATTGCTCTCCTGATCTCCTCTCCCCAGACCATTAATACTTCTAGTCATCATTCCATTTCCAAATACTTCTGCTGCAAGACAGTGGCTGCTCCCCTTGATTATAACATATGGACGCACTTTTAAAAGTTATGCATTGATGCGGTGTATCTGATTCATGAAAAATGTACTTGAATGGAAAGATTGCATATTCTGAATCACTTACTTTCCCTTGTACCCATGTCACAAAATGAACATTTGTAGAAATGCTTTAGTAAGTGCATGTGTACCTTCTAAAGTGTGCTGCAGCTCCAGGACTTGGTTAATTAGTCTTGTTTTTTCTTCTAGTTCGACTTGATTTTCCACATCTAGAACTATGAAACAAATGACAAATTAACACCTTGCCACATCACTATTGGGTGACATATGCCAAATTAACTTTAAGAATTGTACGAAAGGGCACATACCATCCATGTCAGAATTCATCATAGCTGTGGAGTCTTGTGGAGTGATACGTAATTGCAATGTGCCAAAATCTGAGAAA